AAAGGTTAACTAGGTGCGATCCCCATGCTCCACGATTCAAATTTTAGAATGACAATCTAATGAGTGAGCCTGTTGTGCGTGATTATGAATTATGGGCTTCGTTTTTACTTTTATATATTTATGGCAAGAAACATCTAAATCACCATCCTGTGTTGATTTCTGTTCTCTACAGTTGCAAATAAAGGAGGAATCATTGGTTAACTTTAAAAGTGAGCTTGCTGTCATGGAGCTTGAGGTTCAGGTTAAAATCGATTGCAACTTCTTTACTTTCCGTGCCTTTTTCATGTTGCCTAGCATTCTATTTAAAAGATATATGTTGACTAATATTATGCCTAGCAGTCAATGATTTTTACTACTCTCTCTAGTCGTGAAGGTAGGAGCCTGTTGAAGGCTTTGGTTTGGTGCTTAATGTAAAACTCCATTCACTTCTGTCTATCACATTAATTATTTTTTTCCTTAGTGTTTTAATACGCTATTTGCTCACTGCAAAGGAAATGATTAAATAGAGTGAATAAAACAGGAGGGGTATTTCAGGAAACTATCACAAATTGTTCACACGTTAATGGCAAACAATTAACTTAAATTTGTTTCTTAATCCTTGTGAATTAGGCAAAAAGAAATTAGGATCAGCGGAGGATCTCATTTTGCATGATTCTTTATCATGATGTCTTTCATTTAATTGCTTTGAGCTTGAGTCATAAAATTCTATGGAAGGACTTTATGAAGCTTTTCTGGTGGCATGCATGTAACTATCCATTAACCTCTTTTTCATTTCATTGCTTGGAGCTTGAGTCATGAAATTCTGTGGAAGGACTTTATGAAGCTTTTTTGGTAGCATGCATGTCACTCTCCATAAACTTCCACTCCTGCCACTATCTTAGCCTGCACTCTTTCGTAGTCTGAACTGACAATTCTGCTCTCTTATACTCCTGTTTTATTGATGGCATAAGACTAATCTTGCTTTGTGTGAACTGTTTTAACTTGAGATTGGCACACAAATTCCGCCGTCATAATGAACTCTGGCTCGTGTTTCCCTTCTACATCTGCGCTGAAGTTGTACATCAACAATGCTTAACTTTGCTTGTTACGTTGTTTCAATCTATATGATCAAATTGATGATTGAAACTGCTATGAGTAGTTATATAATGGTTTGAGTAATTAATCTTAATTTGATTGAGATTTTGTTGATGAAACCTATCAATGTTAATATTATGATAATGAGATATTGCATCTTATAAACTAAGCGTTTTTTAACCTTCTAGTCACTTTAATTTACGATTTCTTATGCCAAGCACCTTTGTGAATTTGAGAAGATGCTACACACCTTTGCCTGTATGATGTTTAAAATTGTCCTCAGCTTTATTTGCACATCTATGACAATATTTACTTTGGGTGCAGGCTTTGGTCAAACTTGCTGAAGAAATAGCTCAGTCTGCTATTCCAGAAGGTTCAAGGAAGATCAATGGAAAATATATTCAATCTCACATTGTTTCTCGTTTAGGAGGTAGAATGGTGTTGCAGTTCTTCTGCGTACTCCATATGAAGTGGTCCATTTATATACTGCTGATGAATAAATTTAAGGAAAATTACATATTCATAGAAATAAATGGGATAACACTTACACAAATCAATCAATATTTTAGTGAAGTAGAACCTCAAGATTGTTACTTCACATGGTGTAACCATTATGTATTCATTTTATAGAATACGTGCATTTCCCAGCTTTGAATTTCCCACACTAGGGGGCGCGGTTCTGTCCAGTTCTGATAAATTGTTGCCTCTTCTGTTTCTCTGTGGATGCATATGCAATCATTTGGCCTCCAAAGCTATGCATGAGAAATTAAAGGAACAGATAAAGGATGTAGTTTCAGTTCAATCCAAAGAGGTTCCTGTATTTTGGGTTGGCATGGCTGAGGTAAATATGCGAAGATAGTTCTTCAATTATTCTATGAAAACTTTGATCTGAATGGTGAAAACAATGGATAGTTTATATTGATGATTTTCTGACAAACACTGCTATATCTGAGCATGTCAATCTGAACAGGGTTGCTTTTGCAGCCGTATCATATGAATCAGCTGATTTGATATATAGGATTGCACATTGGCTTCGTATGACCGCCACTATAATCTGTAATATGATAGTGAAATATCGCATTACTAAGCTTTTACATAATGTTTGGTTTTTAGTTTGTGTCTGGTTAATACGTGAGTCATCTATTTATTCTGTTGTATTTTTGCTTTCAAGAGCGTGCAAGTAATGGGCAGCTTTGATGGCTGGAGCCAAGGAGAATACCTATCACCAGAGTATGATGGTTCTTATACCAAGTTCTCTTCAACGTTGATGCTTAGACCAGGAAGGTACGGTTTTCTCAACTAAATGAAGTTCTGAACCTGATCTTGTAACAGTGAATCTTCTTTTGAGCCTTAAGAGTCTTGTGCAGGTATGAGATCAAATTCTTGGTGGATGGTGAATGGCAGCTTTCGCCGGAGTTTCCCACTGTTGGTGAGGGATTAACCAAAAACAATCTGTTAGTTGTGGAATGATAGTTTTTAGTTTGCAGAGGCATATGTAGTTTTTTTAAGTTTTTGCCATTCTTCCCCTTGGACAATTGAGTATGTTCCCCATGCGAATCAAATTCTTCTGCTAAACTGGGTTGAGGGCTTGAGGCCATGTTTGTTCAAGTTAGACGGGTCATTGCAGCTGAGTCCAGTCGTAGATGCGTGTAAGTAGTTAACTTGCTGATAAAAATTACAGCAGTTTTTTTAGTCCTTGATGCATGAAAGAATTACTTAACTAATTTAGATAAATCAAAGAAGTGAGATATATTAGTTAAATACAATAAATGTGAATTGATCTCTCTAACGTTATATTGTATAGTATTAGATTATATATCAATTTATAAATTAAGTAAATTAGTTTGAGGAAAAAAAGATAAATACAAAGAAAAAATGGATTGGGGTTTTATATTTAAGAATAAATTTAACTTTCTAATCAGCTCTTGTATTAAAAATTAATGGTAGTGCATACAATGAGTGACTGGCCTTTATGTCAAGTGTTATTTACCTAATCTATAAGAAAATATATTGGACTTATTTATCCCAACAAACATTAAATATCTATATCTATAGGAATTCATTAATATTGATTTTGAAAGGATTTTTTCTTTTAATTCAGAATATTTTAAGTTACTTTGGATTTGAATTTGAGACTAATTTTTGTTGCGATTGTAAGATTTTTTTCTACCAGCAAGGTAACTGTAAGAATACTTAATTATAGCCAAAAGACAAATTAATTATAACATATCTTGTTATAATTTAAATGTGATTTTCTCTCTTAATCTATGCATTTATCTTTTATAACCAAGGAATATGGTTCCCAAATATTTGCCGTGCAATTGTGTTATGGATGTGTTTAATTGTGATACTGCAACTTTCATTATATATTTTTTAAAATTTAATCATTTAGCTTTTCAAATTCTGATTTATATATAATTTGATTCGATGCAACTTACTCTTACAAATTTATACTATTACTTAATGTGGCCATACCTCAAGCAACCTAGCTCTCCATAACTCATCCATGTGGCACTAATTTTGATCAACACATAATTATTTGGCATACTAATCAGGTCAATATAAGAATTACTTGACTAATTAGAGTAAATTAACAAAGTTTTTAAGTTAGTTTTGCAATAAATATGTATTATTCTTTCTAGAATATCTTTGTTAATTATGTGCATTATATAAAATTATCATTTAATGAAACTTTAAAAATGTGCAACTACTACAAAGACTATTTTGAAAAAAATACATAATTATAAGAGATAAAATGAATTGAGATGTTATTTTTAATATTAAACTAAATATTAAGCTAACTCTTTTATTAAATACTGAAGATTGCGCGTGTAATGGATGTTGGGAAAACGCAGCTAACGCATCAATCTGCCCCCTTCTCTCTCACCTCTTTGTTTCGCGTCACTTTTTTTTTCCCCTTTAAAATAATACATATCATTATCTTTGTTTATTAAACTGAATTTTCTTCTTTGCCATGGGCCTACCGTTCTTCGGTCAATTTTTGGGTTGGCCCAAGTATCAATCTCACACTTGGGCCCAAATATCAACCTCAAGACGGTACATGCCCTTCAACGATAATCAAGCAAGTGAGGGAGGAATGATATTAAAAAAAAGATAATTATGGTATTTTAGAAAAAATATATCATATTTCTTATAACTAACTAACTTACCTAACTTTTTTAATCTAATCAAATTAGTTAAATAGATGTTATATTAAGGACATGAGGCGTAACATATATAATACGTTGCAACAATACATGGTTAAGTAAAAAAGGGGCCTCTATTGAGGTGAGGCGCCTACTGGACCATGACACAGCATACCTTCTGATAATCTATGTAAGTTTGTTTTGATTTCAGATTGTAATTGTTGGTACCTCTTCAAGATTCACTGATTTCACTGATTCTGATAAGTACTTGTAACATCTTGAATAATTTTTTTCAATTAAATTCGATATGTATTTGCTCAAATAATTTTGGTTCTATTACCGGATTTTCTCATTGAAGGGTATTGAATGATCTATGAATGATTTTGTTGTTGGACTGCACTCGCCAATAAAGGTGAATGATTTCCTATCTCTGGTTTTAATTGTACGTACGAAACATTATAACCTGAGTATGGGGGAAAAAAAGGAGAAAATCTCCTCCAAGGGAGAATAAAGAGATTGAAAATATTAAGTAATATTTACCTTAAATCAACTTTAGCAGTAAGGATTGAATGGGTTGAAAATAGAAATTTAACATTTTTTGGGGGCTAAAATAGAAATTGAAGATTTGAATGGTTTTGATGCAACAAATTCATTTTTTTTCCTGGGCCACCTCTAATTAAATTATACGTAGATTCAGGAGATTCAATTTATTTTCAGAAGAAAAAGGAAGGACTTAACACTTAACATTATCCACTACACACTCTTCTTCTTCATAGAAAAAGGAAGGACTTAACACTTACATTATCCACTACACACTCTTCTTCTTCATCTCCTTCTTTATTACATCATTTGAAGATAGAAACTACCCCATGGGATTGTTATCTAGAGATGACAGTGCCATTTCCTCCTGCAATCAATTGGAGGAGGTATGAATGTTGAAGTAAACTGTATAAGTTTCATCTCTAAACCAGTACAATGGCTCCAAAACATAATTCCTCTTTGCCCCTTTGGCTACAAAACTGATAGGATTATACTGGCTTAGTCCCTTTCTTGCTATAAAGCTAGCAGCTCTTTTGAAACTATTAGTATGAGGTTTAGACTTAGACTTGCATTTAAGCTTCACACTTGCACCAGATCCAGTACTAGACACAAAGCAACCCTTCCTGGTTTTTGATTCCAGGGATATAGTTCCTCTTTGTCCATCCAGTCCTTTTACTACATTGAAAACACTTGAGGCCCCACCATTATTGGAAGAATGACCCACAATAACTTGACTATTTTCTGTTGCTTGGTGCTTCAAGTACATTCCAGGAAGATCAAATGGTTCCAACATCACTGCTTTACCAATAATATCTCCAACTGTTGAAGAGCCTTTTGAGGACGACCCACTTGGGATAATTCTAAAGGTTGCATGAGTAGTCAATGCCGTTCCAGGTTTAGGTAGTTTTGTCATCTTAAGAGATTGATTTGAGTTTGTGAGAACAAAAGTTGAGCCAGAAAGATCTTGAGAAAAAGTTGCCAGTTGACTGTTGTAATTAGTAGGGATTGGAGTAATCCAATCATCAATAGATGCATTTGACCTAATTGTAATGTTCCAATCACTAGTGGTGTGGCCAGCAAGAAGATATGGACCATAAAGAATTGCTTGGACAGAAGCATATTTTGACCTGTCATCTATATTTAATTCAAAACACAGCATCAGAAATAAGAGCAATATTTTTCTGACCTGAAATGGTAGTGATTAACATTCATGAATTCGTACCTTTTATAGGTTCAGTTCTAAGAGTAATGGGAAATTGCAGAGTTAGCTTGTCATTGGCACTCCACTTTCTCGTGACCGAAAGAAAGTTTCCTTCATGTTCACAAAACAAAATGAATAATTTATTGAAACATACACACTTAATTTTATAGGGATAAAAAAATTAAGACGAAACAGGCATCCTTAAAGCTGTGCTTTTTCTCGTAGAGAATTTAGCTTAAGAGTTAAGTACATACCAGGTGATGACATAGATAGGGTCTCAGAATTTAGCATTGCTTTAGCACCATCCAAACGTGCCCATGTTGGTATCCGGAAGTTCAGTGTTGAAGAAGAACTTGATCCCTACAAAAGTGAATATTTCAATGCATACCCCATCCATTGTAATTTAGCTAATTGGCTTAGCGATTAACCAAAATTTAAATAATAAGTTGAGAGATTTTTTGGCATCATATATGTAACTTATCTTTCCATGTAATGTTCAATATAAATCCTTATGTACCGTTGTTTGAAATGTTCTATGTCTTTTATCATGGGGGAAAATTAATTGAAGCTCAAATTTCTAATGGATTGATAATTGATTCATGCAAAAGCAAGTATCATTTGAAATATTGAGTGGCTAATATTAGCATTTCTTGTTATTGACTAAATTTACAGGGCTGAAATGTGATAGTAGCAAACTGTTGTTAGAAATCATACTCCAAATTAAGTAGGAAAATGGGATGCCTGCCCTTATCATATTTATAAATGATGCTTTGAAGCATCATAATTAATAATAATTGGTGTGGCATGTATAACACAATGCAAATGCAATAGGTACCTTTGTAGGAGAAAGTGTAAATGTGACTCGAAGATAAGGATCTCTCGAAGTGGTAGGAACCACTGTCTGATTAAGCATGAGATCCCCTGATTTCCAATTAAAAGAGCTTGATATGTATTGGATAATATAAAGAGTTGGATTCTTCCCATCTTGTTCAAAATAAATAGAGTCCCCCAGCTTTGAGAATGATTCAATACCTAAACGATGACCGGAAAAAATTTATGTATGTTTGAGTTGTGAAATGCTATATTAAAATTTGAATTATTTAATAAAAAAAACATATGAATACCTGTTCCATAGCAACACCAAAAAGAGTTAAACTTTGTTCCCCAACCATGTTCAGATTTAGCCTTGGAAGCACCTGGGCCTAGTGGCAGCATATAAATCATCACTCCAGGTTCTTTGCCTCTTTGAATACTTAGTACACCATTTGTTAAGGCACGCTCATAATAATCTGCATATGCTACTTCTTTGGTCCATCTAAATAGGTGCCTTGAAACCTAAGAAATTAAGTATGTCTAGTCAATTTTTTAGTGCTGGTACAATGAAAACTTGTATTATATATTACCTTCAACATGTTATAAGTTGTGCATGATTCTTCAGTCTCTGGTGTGTTCAAGTTATCTGCCATTCTTTTTGGATCATGCCTGCAAAAAAGTTGAAGCATGTGATCTGAAAGAATCAGCAAATGATTGCTGTAACAAGAAGGAAAGCTGCTACTAGATGTCCCTGTACAACAAATCGATATTAAATGGATAATTTTAACTTTGTTGTATAGTAAGAAATGAAACTAAGTTAATTAGCTCTCATTACCACCACTCTGTAACTGATGTTCCTCCGGTTGCATAGCTGTGAGAAGAGTTAATAAGACCCATAAAGAATGTGCTCATGTCCTATCATCACAAAAAGCAAGAATATAATCAAAATAGATAATTAATTATTTGGATAAGGTGCTTAAATATCCTGAAAATATCTATGAAGGAGTACCCAACACCTAAAAGTTCTTCTTGGCTCTTATATGCCTTAAAAGTTTATTTTTGTAGCAAAAATATGCTAACTATTATTTGCTGTTAAGTTTGACCGTTAACTTATGTAGTTTGATTGATGTCTTGAACAGTTAAACTTAATAATAGATAACGGTTCATAGTAGAAATGTTATGAAATAAAACTTTTAGGACATATAAGAGTAACAAAAAAAATAAAATCCAGGTACTGGATGCTTCTTTGTGCGTACTTCTAGGATATTTAAGTACAATTATTCATTAATTATTTAAGTTTAGGCCAACAAATAGTCAACAATCATAGCTCCCTTTAAATTTTACAATATATACATAATATGTATGAAGCAATTTACCTTATAAAGTGGATCACCAATGACCTCATATCGCATTTGAGATCCAACAACAATTGGAATATGTGTATTAGCATGAAGATCTGCTATATCATTAGCCTGTATTATTGAAGAACCAAAAAAGAAATAGAGAATTTTAAAACCTTGGGTTTTGTAAGAAAATTAAATACAAATTTCTGGACTAGAATGTGATCATAACGCCAAAATTCAGATCCACATTTCTAACCTAATCCGATTTTCAACTTGGAGTGAAATTTAATGAAAGGGAAACAACTTCATTTACATGGAAACGTACTTGTCCACATCATAACCTATATGATGATTCCCTAATTGATAAGATTTATTCCTATTTAATTTAACGTAAAGTAATATAAAAGACCATGATGCTGACATCGCAACATCCTGAAAATTAATGGGCATTACAAGACAATGGGCAATGTAGACTTCGAAGGCAAGACTGTCATATATGGCACATATCAAATTTCATGAGAAATTTCTCAGCATTGGATGATTGGATATTGAAATGGATGAACAAGGCAAGGTCTTAAATTACACTGATATAAATCCAGAGATCTATTTCAATCAAACTCATAGGGAAAACTACAATAATAGGCAAACATTAATCACTACCTGAATAGCAAGCAACCCTAAAAAGCATGGCTTGTCAAAAAGATGGGCCAAGAGTAGATGCTTCGAATCTCCCTGTGTAGGTTAACAAGACAGATAAAAGCAAGGATTAAGAATTATGATTTTATGTATCTCATGGCATCTATGCTCATATCAACCAAGTATAGCAGTAAAAGAAAAAACATCAAACCAACAAATGAAATATCAAGACTAGTTAATTGTTAACCTACCGTTATGCTATATAATTTGTAAAGGACATCATTCATTCCTCCAGTTTCCTCTTCCATTGATTGATAGTGTCTATTTATAGTGTACTTTGTAATCACATTTTGTACGCGATTATAAAAGTACTCAACCATCCATTTTAGCATTTTAAGAGCATGAGCATCTCCAGCAATGATATGTTGATCTAAAAGGCCTGCCATTATCTGTCAAAGTTACTTAGTTTGATTAAATCCCACAATATAAGTCCAAATTTTGCTATACATGCTCAAAAACAAGTTTCAAATATATATGTATATATGAACCTTGTGAATGGTATAATATGGGGCCCACACAGCCTTAAGTTCTTCCAAGCGATCAAATGAATGAGATGGAAAAGCCGATAGATATCCTGTGCCAAGTTTCTTTTGGCAGGCAGAAAGATTGGCAACAAGCGCTGACATTTTCTCCTTTAGACTATCATTATGTGTGCTGGCCCACATCAAAGCCGATGCACTCAAGTAATGTCCTTTAAAATGTGAAAAACAAGAAGCAATTAAATCATGTTATTGTCCCAAAATCCTCTTGAAACGCATGGCATATGCTAAAATTTGAAGTTACTAGCTAGATGGTTTTTGATACCTCTTTTTCTCATTTCCACAAATATCTATGTAGAAATTAACCCGAGTAACAGTGGATGGTGAATAATTAAAGGCAAGAACTAGATATGATGAAACAAAAGTTAAGATGTTGAATCAAACAAATTAAACCAACCAACAAAATGGCCACGAAGCTCATTTTTGGGCTCTTCCCAGCCTCCATAAGGCTTGCCAGGAGTGGGTAAACCAGCTGTCTTTCTAAAGTTCCAGAGCAAGCTATCAACATCTAACATCAACAGATACTCCAAATTTGTAAGCTGTGCACGGGCATGGATCGAGTGGGGATGCAATCTCACATCATGTAATGAAACCTCTCTGAGAAGACCTTGAGGTGGCGAGACAAAACCCCTATTCTTGATTTTTCTGTACATGATTGTCCAATCATGGTGTTCTTGTTCTTCTTTCAGTAACTTTCTGGGCAACAAACTTTCCCAAACTGAGTCATCTGTTGGAGTTAGATGATAATGTGATATCACTTCTTCCTTCCATGTCTGGTTTTTTGATGTTAATAACTCATAACGTAAGGTATGAGATTGAGTAGCCTTGTTGGTGCATGCCTTAAGAGCAGTAGTGATGGCAAAAGGATAAAGCAAGAGGATCACAACAAAGGAATTCACAAGACAAATAATATTCATGCTCAAAAAGCACAAAAATGAACGCGAGGGAGTGTGAGAAAGGAGGAATGGTTCATAGGATGAAAGGCATGTGAAGGGAGTGAGGTGTATATATAGAGAGAAAATGTCACGAGGGGTTAGAGTGTGGAGGGACGCAAAGTAAAATGAAAATACAGATGGTAGGCGAAGAATAAGAGGAAACCCGGAAAGAGAGAGAGAGAGAGGGAGGGAGGGAGAATTAAGTGTGGGGGAAGGGTGAAGAGATAAAGGTTCAAAGGGTTAAAAAGATAAGATTCACATATTATCATCGATACAAATTATGTACTATAAATTCATAATTAAAGAATCAAAATCTCTTGCACTATGATTTTATTAGTCGTGTCTTTTTTTAATCCATTAAAATTTTTATTTTTATATATAATTATATGTTATCTGGTACTATTAAATTAAATTAAGCTTTTTCATTACACAAAATTTGAGGTGATGAATTATACTGATCATGGTTTATAAATAGTACAACTTTTTGTAAGTTTTATACTAAATATAAAGATATCTAGAACAGAACATGCATCAAGATAAGAAGATGAGTTGGCTATTATTCGAACCAACCAATTTAAGTAAAAAAAATGATGTTTGGAATAAAGTAAAAGCAAATAGAAAATATTAGAAATTTAACCATATGCAGTTATGAGGAAGAATAGAAACATGATTACGTATGAAGATAAGATGGGAATGGATTAGTGAACCAATACGTGGCAACACGTCTGGAGATCATAATCATGAATCCTATATTGCAAATGAAGTAATGAATGATGGAGGACTTGTCGAGACCTTATAGCTCAAATGACATCCCATATCAGTTGTGGGTTCTATATCCTAAGTACCCAAAATAAGGGCAGTGTGTGCGGTAGGTGTGCAGATCCCTTTCTCTGTAGGGGGATGGATGGGCATTAAATTGTTCCAAATAAAAGAATGATGGCCTGATGGGAGAGTTTTGGATGGACACGGAAGAAGCTATTTGAAGAAACTATATGAAGGGTGGTGATGAGAAGAAAGAGGAAATTATTGAAGAGGATGATCTTGCACAATAATGAGGAGATTAACATGAAAATGAAGAAACAATGGAGATCATAAAATTGAAACCTGTTGACTCATATGGTGTTTTATAAGGAATGATAGAAACATATCATATACGTAATGAAGACAATATGGGAACGCTGACGAGAGTGAGTGATCCGCTTAGAATTTCTTAATTAAAGGGAATATGGTACTACCTCCGGTCCTAATTATAAGACCCAGTTGACTTATTTGAAGAGATTAAGGAAGTAAGTTAAGTTAGTTATTTGTAATAAATAAGTGTTGTCATTCCTAAAATATTCTTGCTAATTAAGTGTATTGGCTATAACTATCATTATTAGAAAGACTATCTTGGAAAAAAAATACATAAGTATGAGAGACAAAATGGATTGGGGTCTTATAATTAGGACCAAATAAAAAGTCAAACAGGGTCTTATATTAAAGACCGGAGGTAGTATCATTTAGGTCTTAAAAAAAAACTGCTAAAACTAAAACTTAATGTGAATTTTTAAATATGTTCACAAAAATGTGAATTTAAATAAATATATTTTTCCTTAAAATAAATAAATTAACATTAGAGCTTTGACTGCCAGCATTGCATGGGTGAGGGACTTAGGATTTGAACCCTCATTCCGAGGTTCACCTAAAAAGTTTTGTAACCATCCAAGAATAAATTTAAATAATAATCTGATGTTCCCTGATACCAAGTTTGTTTTGATTTGAGCAGTTTTTCTAATGTGATTTTCTTTTTACCCACAATGTTCCAATCTTGAACCCAAATCCTCAACCTAACCACCATTAAATAAAATGATGAATATTTTTAATTACATGTACTTTTTATTTCTTTTTTGGCGCTTTTTGGTTGCATATACGGAACATTATAATTTATGACTTGAGTAGAACCAAGAAAAAAAGAAAAGAAAAGAAAAGAAAATCTCTTCTCAAGGAGAATAAAGAGATTGAAAACGTCTACCTTAGATTTAACTAACTTAGTATTCGTTTGACCAAAAAAACAAGAAAAAAAGAACTAACGTAGTAGTCGTTTGACCAAATGGGAAAAAAAAAAAAAAACTAACGTAGTAAGGTTGGGTTCGGTTTAACGTTGAAAATAGAAATTTAATTTGAATGCATTTTGCCTTGGGCTGTCGTCTCCGTCTCGCTCGTCTCCCACCTCTTCTTCTCAGCTGCTTGCCTTTGCCTCCGCCATATCTCCTCTCACCTCTGCTATTGCAGCCGTGCACGGCACCTCGGCTCTGTCTCTGGCCTTCTCTCTTCCGCCGTCGTTTCTTCTTTCACGGTTAGATTTTTGTTTTTTTATCTGTATTTCCACATGGGCTTGGGTTTTTGGTTTTTCTTCTTCTTTCACTCTTCTACTTCTTTCAGATGTATAAAAAGATGAATCGACATGACTCTATACGAGGAGTTTCTGCTTGCAATGGATACCAACGCGGGAAACCACGGCCCAGGAAATTCCAAGTTAAAGTCGTGAAATACTGTGGGTGGCAAACCGACGCCGAGACTCCAACGCCGGCTGATCGAGTAAAGAAAGATATGGGATCAGAATTCTATGCCGGTTCCTCCGTGTCTCTGCCATCACCGCCGCCAATTTTGGTTCCCTTGCCGGATTTTTTAACTAAGGCGGTCGGTGACGTTAAGAATGACTTGCCAAGAAATTTACCTTGCTCCCGCCAAGAAAGGTAAGTAATTTCCTAACACCGCATTTATTTTTTCCCTTTGTTCTTTTTTTTTTTTTTTTTACCCAATAGGTATTTCTAGGGTGAGTTCTAGTCTTTGTGACTTAGGCGTCTGGTCTGATCAAGTTTTTTTCCCCATATCAAGGTTGAGTGCCTGCAGCTTTCACTTGCACTGGTTTATTGAATTATTAAATAAACGGGCTTAATACACACTCTGACACGCATTAGTGAAATGGTCTTTATCCTGATACAGCAAGAGTTGCAATTACACTTACTGGGAAAATAATGTTAGTGATGTGAAAATAAATGTGTGGCAGTTCATCAATATCAGTCTATACTCATAACTTTTTATAGGCGAAACTTGTTTTCTTATCCCAAGTATTTATTTTTGAACCAATGGATGTGACCCGCTTGACTTCAGTTTGAATATGGTTTTGATATTTGTTGCATATCTTAGGATCCTATATCTGTTATTGAATGTCAACGGAAAATCAAAGGTTATAGGGAGAATGTAATTTGGGGCAGGCGGTGCTTAAATTTCCTGCTTCGCTTGAACTGTTTTGGGCAAAGTCTTTTGGATTCTTAGGAAGGAGACAATGTGGCGAAGCCAGCCGGAATTCGGTGCTGCACCATACATGTGGTGTATGTCACTGCTACGATTCTCAGCTGGCCCTACGTGAGTAAGCCATTTGGAGACTCACTCGGCCAAGCAGCAAAAAAAAAAAAAAAAAAAAAGAAAAAAAAGAAAGAAAAAAAAAAGAGAAAAAAAAAAAGAGGAGACAAAGGAAGAGAATCTTCATCGTAGCTATGGGACAGGACATCCTTGTCACCATTCCGGTACTCATAGGTTGTTGTGAGTGAGCCGTTAGGATTCTCACTTTACCTCATTGAGAAGAAAAAAGAGGCTGCCCTTAACAGTTCTTGTTGCATTCAGGGACACCAATTTGGCCCTGTCGTTACCGTTACGAGTCCCTTTGGATTAGCTGAGTGAGCCTTTCGGATTCTCACCTCATCCATTATCAGTCCTTCTGTTACATTCAAGTATTTTTTGTGTGATCACTAAAATATGTGCGAACTTCAGAGCTATGTTCAAATTGTAATCTGAGTGTGTAGCTCCAAAAGTTCACAATTTCTTCTGGGGTATGAACAAGTCCAGCTGAATATGGTGCCATGAGTTGGAGGCTGAACTTCCTTTTATTGCTATGTATTTATATGTTATGTTATTGCATTGTTGTCCCAATTGTGCTAGCTCTTCTTGTTGCTCTCTTGAACATTGCCTTAAGCTAATGCTTACGTTAATATTTTAGCCCTTTAGTTTCTTTATTATATTAATTGATACCACAAATACAAAACCCTGCACGGCCTCGAATCTTGATAAGTATCATGGGGGTGAAGATCACTTATTGGAGTCCTATGTTAATGTGTTGAATTAGTACTTTTTCTTCGTTTGTCCTGTCTATTATTAGTTAGTTTAGTAGGAGTCCTATGTTTGACATGCAATTGCTCCATGAATGCCTATCTTTAAATTTAGGAATCTTTAAATTTAGGGGCTATAATTTTTTGAAGCTATTCTATTTTTAAGTGGTGAAAATGCCAAGTCAATATTTTATTTCAACTAAGATTATTTTACTAATTACTAATTTTCTGTTTATTCATCACTTGAAAGCACTCCACCTTCTTCCAAATAAAACTCACGGTTTTTTTCCTTCAAATTTTGGAGGTTTTCTGTGAGTTTTCACCTATCAGGTGGAGGTTTTAAAGTGTCATTATGTTTTGAAAATAATTTCACAAAAAAAAAATCAAGCTCTCTTAATTGCAAATATTTTATATTTTATTTCAGCTAAGATTATTTACTAATTACTAATTTTCTGTTTATTCATCACTTAAAAGCACTCCACCTTCTTCCAAATAAAACTCACGGTTTTTTCCTTCAAATTTTGGAGGTTTTCTGTGAGTTTTCACCTATCAGGTGGAGGTTTTAAAGTGTCATTATGTTTTGAAAATAATTTCACAAAAAAAAAAAAATCCAAACTCTCTTAATTTCAAATATTGTATATTTAATTTGAACCCCCTATTTAGATGCAGAGGCTAAAAAATCAATTGTTAACTTGAAACTATCAGGAAAAGGCAGTGAGGAACTAGATATGAAATAAAGCAATATGGTTGGATCATGATTAAATACAAGAGTCTTGAAGGTTTATGTAATATTTTAACGATGAACAGAATGGTAATAGAGGGAAATTAGTCATGTTTATATATTGATAGTCCATGGATGATTAAGAGAAGCCTAGCAGTTGAACAGTAGTGGAGTATATTTAAGAATGGCAGATGTTTAAGGATATGTAGTTGAAGTTTAGTGGCTGAACAGTGGTTAGTTACAGGCATAGTTGATAAAGATTGATAATTCATGGATGATAGAGGATAGCAGAAGCCTAATAGTTGAACAGTGGTGGAGTATATTGACAATTGGCAGATGTTTAAGGATATGTAGTTGAAGTTTGGTGGCTGAACAGTGGTTAATTACGGGCATGGTTGACAAATATTGATAATTCAATGATGATTGAGGATAGCTGAAGCCTAGTAGTTGAACAGTTGTGGAGAATATTTTTGAATGGCAGATGTTCGAGGACATATAGTTGAAGTTTAGCGGCTGAACAGTGGTTAACTACAGGCATAGTTGATAAATTTTGATAATTTATGATTGAGGATAGCTGAAGCCTAATAGTTGAACAGTTGTGGAGAATATTTTTGAATGGCAGATGTTTCAGGATATATAGTTGAAGTTTAGCGGCTGAACAGTGGTTAATTACAGGCATAGTTGATAAATATTGATAGTTCATGGATGATTAAGGATAGTTGAAGCTTAGTGGCTGAACAGTTATTAGTTATGAGCTTAGATAAATGCTGATAGTTTTTGGATAATTAAGAACAGAAGAAGCCTAGATAGTTGTTGAACAGTGGTTGATTACGGGTTTATTTGATAAATAGTTGATTAGTTTAATTATAGTTGTTTATAGCATGGACAGCAAGAGATATTTTCCTCATATTTTCCATGTTTTGAGAATATGGTGATGGAAGTTCTACTCCCTCAGGTCACACTTTGAAAATTTGTGGAATGATAAAGCCCCCCTGATTAATCTCAAGTCTGAAAAACCTCTTAGACAGGGGGGTTTTAATAAACATCTAACCCATGTTTGCCTTAAAGACTGCTGTTACAGGAGGAACAGTTAAGATATTTGGAGGTAAACAAATACAAAATAGACAAAATCAAGCCAGGTACTTGTGAAGTGATTGGTATGTGTTATTGAAATATTTAAAAAATGCCCATATTTAATTTTTCTAATTATAGAGGGTCAGGTTATGTGATTTGCAATTTTTTGGTTAATCTTTCTATGCGAGTGTTGTTTAACAATTGGGGATTCATTGTTTGTGTCCTAGCGACTTAATTCAAACCAGTTTGGACGTGACTTAATTACAAAGTCTTGCTGTTGCCAAACAATGGTTAAACAGACTAATTTTAAGTAAGGTTAACTTTTGAAATAAATAATTATACGATATTGAATTGTGCCTGCATATTCTGTCTTTGTGGGAAAACGTAATATCAAACACCTAAAAACTATAAATAAAACTTCTAATAGCATTGTATCCCTCTGTGATGTAGATGGAGTTTGTTACTTCTAAAGAACTGGAGTAGTTCAGCAAGATGCAGAAGGATACTGATTCAAGCAAAATATCTAGAAGAAAATCGGAACTTGCTTTTGGTAAAACTCTTTCCAAGGTGTTTCATGGTGAGTACAAGTTTGGTATCCATGTTAATCTTTCCCTCCTTATTTTTGCACTGATATTGAGGGTAAGTGATTGTATGTGTTGTTAATTCTGTGCCAACTGCTGATGTCTTTATTTGCTGGTATTGGAATGCTTGCAGATTTGCATGGGGTCTGAATTTAAACAAGCACGTCAACAACATAGGATTGTATTTTGTTGTGGTATATTGATATGTTGATTTTGATAGGATGTTCTAGTGTTGTATAATGGGTACTGTGATCAAATAAAGATAAATTTTTCTAATGGTATTGATCAGTAGAAAAACTAATCAAATCATGATGCTCTCCCCTGTAGGGAATTATGTGCTAAAAGATACATTTGATGTCAGATTGGAGAAAGGATTTTTTTTATGGGAAGTGAAGTGAAAAAAAATCTTTTTATTAACCAGTAAAGGATGGGCTCTGATGTAGACCAAGAAAAGGTGGAATGCGAGGGGGAAAGAGCAGCTCCTCCTCACTCGTGGTGAAGCCCAGGAGAAGGAAGCTTGTGACCTGTTCCAAGATAAAAACAAGTGGGCAAAGAGAGAGAAACATATGGTGAAAATGGTGGTAAGTGAGCATTGATTTCTGTCCCTTGCTCATTCTAATTCTCGTTATAGTGAATCCTGTCAGTACTTAAATTCTCCTTCCAACTGAAAGGGGAGGAGAATCAACGGTTTGTCATATGCTCAAATTTTCTTTTTACGTTAAGAAATCTCGTTTTGTTAATGTAGTTTTCTTGCATTCCTCAAGCTAGGACCAATAACTTGCAGAAAAACGTTAGTTCCATTATGATCCAATATTATCTGCAGTCATGTACTGGCTTGATTCTGACTGAATCCCTGTGCTCTTAAAGTAATTCTGAATATCAGATGATAGCGTCTTGATGTTGCATGAAAACCCAAAAAACGGGTCCTGTCTTTAACATTCCTTTTAACCTTTTAGGGCTTGTGTTGTTTATATATGATTAAAGGTCACCTTATCATTAGGTGTCCTATGTATGAAAGGTGATGCACCTATAATATGCTCCTAGTCCACATAGTTTTAACCCTAATTGTAGAAGTGGAAGGAAACTTTAATCTAAGACCTGAAGCGCATAATTTTGAGATGTATTATCCATCAGTAATCTTTAGATGGCTCTCTTGCATTGGCCATTTTTTAGATCCTCACTTTATAAAATAAGGAAAATCAGTTGGAAAGATTGATGTAATGTGCCAAAATTGAAAATTGAAAAAAAGTTCTTTATCTTGATCATAATTGACTATAACAATGAGAATGATCATATTTACTTTTTCCTCTTTTCTGTTTATTATTACTGTCAACTGCAAGGGCAGACTGTAGGAATCTACAGCCCGTCTTACAGGGTTGAGTTTGCATGCAAATCTGTGCTTAGTCAGGTCTAAATGTTTCTTGCATAAGATACCTGATTTATGCTTTTTCCGTTTTGTTTCCTTTTCTCAATATATGCTTTCCCCACTAAAAAGATAGCCACACTACTTGCGTATTCTGAAAGAGCATAGCTTGCAGAAAAAATAAGTGAAGCCAACCAGCAGAATCGGTTCCCAAAAGACAGGTCAGTGCCTATATCAGATTACTCTAAATCGTTCTTAATTCGAAATCTTTGCTTTTACATATTACAGAAAGTGTGGTAGTTCCCAACTATTTCTCAAGAGTCTCAGTCTTCTGAAATATTGAATGAATTGGTTAAGCTAGATGGACGTTTTCCATGGGTGATTCTTTCAAATGGTTGACTAGAAAAAGAGCAGGAAGTCAGGAACATTGAAATAACCACACTTCAAAAGCTAGCTCATAAGGTTGGAGAGCCTGAGGTCCATGTGAATTATTTTGGAACCCATGCTTCCCTATGCGGGAAGGCATTGCAAAGGTTTGAACATCATATTAGAAATCTACTATACAATCAAAAGCAACAGGGTAGATTTAATCAAGCTATTCGGATGTTGCATCTGCCCTTGGTTAAATATGATGACACTAAAACAAGATTTTGATTTATGGCTGTATTATTAGTAAAATAAAATGCATTAACAGAAATACATAATACAGGAGGTGAATTGGACTTGCATATTGGTAAGCTATCTTTGGGTTTTTTGATCTTGATAATTAATTGTAATAGGCTAACTGTAATAATCCATAGAGATAATGGGAAATGTTGCAATTACATGTCTTATTCATTATTATTCCCAGTCATCAGTCACTGATACACCCACTAGTATAAAGTTGGGGCATGTACACCCAATGAAATGCATTGAAGATTCAGCTATCCAATCTAAATATATAATACTACAAATATTTTCATTTTCTTTGGATCTGTTAATCAATTGTAGTGTGTTTCACTAGACTCGGGTGTTCTAATTCCTGATCCTTTCTCAACTTTTTGTATTTTTCTTAGGAGGAATAGTTCTTTTTGAACTCAACTAATAGTAATTTCTTTCATGATACGAAGGACGAAGCTAAGAATTGAACCTCCAATAACTTAAAGAGTAAGAGCTCCTGCTACTTATGTTAAGCTGCTCCTGCTACTTATATACTCTTCCGGTCCTTAATATAGAACCCAATTGTTGAGTTGGTTTTGGTCCTAAATATAAGACCCATTTCTCATATTTATCAGTTTTCTCTAAATTACCCCTATAGATACTTTCTTAACCATAATCAAGTAGAAGAGGGAGAGGGGTATTAAGAAAGATGATTATGATATTTTAGGAAAAGTATGTCACATTTTTTATAATTAACTAACTTACCTAACTTCCTTAATCTAATCAAATTAATTAAATGGGTCTTATATTAAGGACCGGATGAGTATTACATTATTACTTATATGCATGAAATGATGCGTAGTTGATGTTGATCCCATGCATGCTTATAGATTTATAATTTTAGGATAATATATCTCATATAAACTTGGAATATACTGCTGCTTTGTGTGGGTGTGTGGGTGGGTGTGTGTGTGTGTGTGGGTATATCCGTTGTTTGTTAGAGAAATTAATCAAAGCAGTTTAATTTGTTGGTTGTAATCAGTGCTTTATTAGGCATGACTCATGCTATCCCATGCACCACACCAGCTCATGCTCATCTTGCAATTATTTCTCTGTTTGTTATTCATAGCTTATGACTTAGACATGGAAATATTAATTCCTTTTTTTTTTTTTGCCCCCCAACTCGCAATCTCCTCCTATATATATGTGCGTGCGCGCATGAAATTATATGAAACGAGCATCTTCATCAATCATACATGTCATATGTTGAGATCATCATCAGAATGTTGAGGAAGAACAGTGAGAAGCAGAAGCAGAAAAGGAAGGTTAATAGAAGAAGGATGCCGATAAAAGTCAACATTGTGGGAAGTTCGGGAGCATTGAGGTTAGTGGTGAACGAAGACGATGTCGTTTCTGATGTGATTCACGCTGCTCTCAAGTCTTATGCTCGTTTAGGAAGGCTTCCTCTTTTGGGTTCTGATGCCAACCATTTCCTTCTTTATTCTTCCAGTGTCACATTCGACGGTATTATTTTTGTTATGTTACCATGAATTTGTTCTTAAGTTCTATGCTCTTCTCGTGTTTGTTTTGATAGTTACAGTATTTTTTTTTGGGCAGTTTGGAGTCCAACGGAGACCATAGGAAGTTGCGGGTTTAGAGACTTTGTTCTGAGAAAGAAGGCTGTGAAGGAAACAAGAGGATTTCAAATCAAAGATGAGACTAATAACAAGCAAAATCGTGGCTGGAACTCGAAGAAGTGGAACTCGTGTTTTACCACAAAAGCAAATCCAGATATTGATCTATGTGTTCTCGTACAATATATCGGAAAATTAATAGGGAGCACTCTTTATAACTTATGGGATTATAATGGGGACCCAGTAGAAAATATCAAGTGTTTAAATTTTATGATCTGAATAATTTAGATGAGACGTGCATGGGATGTTTTTTTTTAATTTGTTTGACATAATTAAATTCATATCCGATTATATCATTTTTCTTGAAATATATCTGGATTGAGAAAAATAGATAAAATGATCATAACAAACTTACTTGGGCCGCATTATTAGGAATTAATATTTTATACATATTCATTTATATAGACATATGTCTAGTTAATTTTATTTTATTTCTGGCAAATTATATAGAGACTAATAAATTAAAATTTAATTAGCCCTCTCTAGCCCAAAAAAAAATCTATAATAATTTAGTTTAATCCTAGAAAAAGATTCGTTATCTTAATATATTTATATATATATTATCCTAAGAATTTATCTCCATCATCTCCCCCGTCTATATATACAGATCGAGAGGAGCCTGCGTCATATAAACGTCCTGGTCGTACATATTCTCAGGGTTTCTTCTTTGATGATTTGCTTTAGGGTTTTCTCTCTCAGCCTGGCTTCTTCATTATGTTTCTTCTTCACATCCCACAAAAGGGATTGGTATTACCGTTGCATCGGCCTTGATCCTCAATTCTCAACTGTAAATATATAATTTCAATATCGCAGCTGAGTTTATCTGTGTCGTCGTAAAATGTTGGGAAAAAATAAGATGAACTACTTCACTTTTAAAAGGAAAGACGAGGATGACCAGAAAAAGAAGATCAACAAGAAGAAGCTGACGAGGTTATTGATCACAATTAACGTTAGTGGAAGTGCAGGGCCTTTGAGATTTCTGGTCAACGAGGATGATCTTGTTTCTAATGTCATTCAAATGGCTCTCAAATCTTATGCCCGTCAAGAAAGGCTTCCTCTTCTAGGGTTTGATGCTAAGGATTTTCTTCTCTACTGTCCCACGAAACTTGATGGTATATTTCATGTTTTGTTTATTTGTTTTGCCCTATCAGATTTGCATATTGATATAATCTAGTTTGTTATTAAAAATGACATGTATTTCTAGCATATATGTATATATACTCTAATACTATTATTGTTGATTTTTTTTTGGATATATTTTGAAACAGCTCAAAATAAAATTATAATAAACTTTTACTTATATGCAAACCATATAGCTTTCGTATCTTGGATCTTTGATTCATGTTATTTTTCTTTATCTGATTTGATTCACGATTTATTTTTCTTTCCTATCAGATATTCGTACATTGATCCAATGCACACGTATTATGTATCTGGTTTGTGATTAAAATTGACCTATATTTTAGTACCATATATATTATCATATACAGTATAATATTATTGTCCATATCCTTTTTTTTAAGCCGGGGAGCATCTTATATATATATATATATATCGAAGCAGGTGAAAATAAAATTATAGAAGACTGTTTATATAAAAAAATATATAATGAAAACTGATATCTGGTTTGAATTTAAAATTATAGTTTAAATTTAATTTAATTTTTCACATTTAATTATGCAAACTAGATATCGATCTTTCGTATACTGTATTAGATATTAGTTTACAATGTTTTATTCTTGTATATCCGATTCGAATATTCATTTTAATGCATTTGATTAGCTTGGTAGTATATCTAACATGCGCAATTTTACGGCTTGTTGATTATGAATAATGAGTTTTTAAGTTTCCAGATATGTATATATGCCATGACAGTGGAAGCGTACGTTTTGGCAGGCTTAAGTCCAATGGAGGCCATAGGATGTTGTGGGGGGAGAGAATTCACATTGATAAAGAAGAATACGAACGTTGGCCTCAAAAATGACTCCCAAAAGCAAAACCTTCCCAAGTGGAGATCTTGTTTTGTCATTCGACCAAAATCTGTCCTTGCTTCTTAATTAATTAATACATCAGTACATATATTGTATGCAAAAAGTTCATATACGTAATATGCTCAGACTTAATTAATAGACATGGTTTTTTTATGATAGTGATTTTTGTACTCTTTTATTATGTTTAACCTATGTATAAGCATTCATTGGTTTATCACATTTGAATGTAATACTCCCCCGGTTCTTAATATAAGATTTATTTAATTAATTTGATTAGATTAAGAAAGTTAGGTAAGTTAGTTAATAATAAGAATAAGACATGTTTTTTCCTCAAATACCACAATCATCTTTCTTAATATCCTCCTTTCCTCTTCTACTTAATTATGGTTGAGGAGTATTCATAGGGATAATTTAGAAAAAATTGATAAATATGATAAATAGGTTTTATATTTAAGATCAAAATCAACTTAATAATTGATCCTATATTAAGGACCAGAGGACTACTAATTAACTGATGGTTAGGAGGAGAGTGGTGTATAATTTGTCTTTTCCTCTTAAGTTATACACCTTACATCAATGAGCCCTCCAACTAAAGATTAGTGATAAATAAAGTATCTGTGCGTATCCATGTAGTGCTTGACAATGTCTCAAATAAACCCCTAATAAGAGGATACCTCGTGTGCTTCTTTTTTTTTGGGGGGTGGGGGGACACAGAGATCAGCGGATGGATCATGCATCTCACGCCAATGATTCCCCTTATTTTTTTAAAAAGGAAAAATAGTCTTCATTGGTGTTAAATTCAAAAGTAGCTAGCCGTTGTCTCTTGGTTCTCAAAGTTGATGAAAAATCATACTTTTAGTTTATACAAATTGATTTATTCCCAAATTTAGTCTTCATAAGTTAACAAGTTATAATTTCGCTTCCACCATTAACTTAATCTTGTTTTATTATCTATATTTTTTTTGTTAGTGAAATTAAAAATATTTAAATAAAAGAGTATACACACAATTACTTACCTTAAACACATTTTAATTCACAAAGTCATGGTTACAAACTTTTAAACTACACATATTAAATTAATTAAAAATAAGAATTTGATGGAACTATGAAAATTACAATTACTATTTTTCTTTTTGATAAATCAAATAAGTTATATATTAACATTATTTATTATTTAATACTACTTCCAATACTAAATATAAAATCTAATTTGTCATGCAATTTGTATTGTGCACTAGATCTTATGTTTAGAATAGGAGGTAATATTATTGTTTAACCAATCCGCGGTACATGTACATCTCCCACAAACTTGTCCTTTAATTATAAACTTATCTGTCACCCAGAAGTTATATCTCATACATATCACTAATCTCTCAGTGATCACCAAATCATTTTAATGTATCAGTCCATTAAATACATAAATATATATAAAGAGGACATGTTTCAGTTCCACAATTTAATGCATTCTCCACCAATGCATGCATTAAAATCACAGTGAGTTGATGTAAATTGTCTATGGTTTGTAAATAATGTGATATCTTTATTATATGTGGATATAGTTGTGTTTTGTGTGTATATGTATGCATCCATTAGTTGGAATCCGTCACGTCTTGCTTTCACTTTTCCCCCATCTTAAGAACTTTAATGGCCTTTTTAGTATTAAATTGTTTAAGTGCGTTGCTAGAAAACAAGTCACTTAATGGAAGTGCGCAGACCATCATATGAATATAATTAAGAAAGAGGGATTCGCTTGACAATGCTTATTGTCTCTCTAGTTCTCGCATTCGCATCCTTGTCATGGAATCCGTACAAACAAGTATTAGATTAGTTTAACAAATACTCTTCTGAGACAGAGAGAAAAGATTTTTTCATCCTATTTATAAGTTTCTTTCATTAAAGTTTTAGTATGAATATACTATTTTGTCATTTATTATAATATAGATAATTATTTTTTTCTAAAGGTATATATAATAAATAGGGATAAAATTGGAAAGTTATTCTATTTTAATAGAGAGTTAATGTAGTTTAAGATTTTTCTTAATCTGTGAAAATATGTTAGAAATATCTTATAAATAGGATCAGAGCTGAGCAACAATTTAAACTCATCAAGATTGACAACGACGACAACAAAGACACTAACAAGTAATTTCACCAAGGGTAATTAGGTCATTTTGAAAAAGACCCTTAATTTCAAAAGGGCCTGATCATAATAGTAAGGACTTGTATAGGAATTAAGTCATATGTCAATAGCAAGTTGTTTTAGTGACAGCAATATCCACCATGCTTAGATGTTTGTGTGCGTGGTTATTGTCCCTCTTTCTTTGGAATTTTTTAAATTTTTGGGTAAAATGCTTACGGTAGGTTGTCACTTGGGGAAAAGCAATCAATCACAATCCATATCCCATGTCCTTATAGAGTTAAATATCATAATATTATCCTGCATGACCACTCCCATGCAATCTGCCCTATTTATATATATATGATATGAAATGAAGGTCTTGGCAACATATATGCTCACAGTAAATCTCTTTCTTTGATAATTCTTTTTGTTTTTTTGTTTCTCGCAAGAGCGATCGAGAGTGAATGGTGCCATTGTTGCCTCAGCCTCGATCCTTGGCACGAAAAATGGTGGGCAGGAACAGCCCAGGAGATCAGCAGAAGAAGAAGAAAGAGGAAGAAAAAGACAAGAAGAAGACAGGAAAGCTAACAAGGTTGTTGATCACAGTGAGTGTTGCAGGAAGTGCAGGACCTTTGAGGTTTATAGTGAATGAAAACGACGTCGTTGCTGACGTTATTCACATTACTCTCAAATCTTATGCTCGTCTTGGAAGGCTTCCTCTTCTCCCATCATCTGATCCCAACAGTTTTCTCCTCTACTGTCCTCTCAAATTTGACGGTATTATTACTGCTACTACTTTACTATTATTATTAGTTTCTTTTTTTCCTGTGGGTTTGATTGTGCTTTTTCCTTTTGACAGATATTTTTATCTGAGAAAATTTATCAACATGATCCAGTATGGATCCAATATCTTGAAACTTTTCAAGTTATAGTGGACCCGTACACTCGTACGAGTCTAAAATAAGTGGCGCTTTTTACTGCGCTTCTCCTTCTCCTTCGTCTTCTTCACCGCATATATATTCTTCTGAAATCTTAAGGTTTAAATGGTTGAAAGTTGCAGCTGTGAGTCCAAAGAAAGCCATAGGAAGTTGTGGAGCAAGAAACTTCATATTGTGGAAGAAGGAGGAGGAGAACGAGGACGTCCAAGAACGACGAATGACAATCAAACATGAGACTCAGAAGCAAAATCATCGTCGCTGGAACTTCAAATGGAAATCATGTTTCATCGTCCAACCGGAAGACGTCCTTGCGTCGCTTAGGATATTAATATATTTATGTTTGATGATAAATTCGTGAGTTACTACTATTATGCGTTTAAGTCTTTGATTATGATTTGCCCGTATAATACTCTCCGGTCCTTAATATAAGACTCATTTAACAAATTTGATTAGATTAAGGAAGTTAGGTAAGTTGGTTATTTAAGAAATGACACATTTTTCAAACAATCATCTTATACTCTTTCTCTATAGGGGTAATTTAGAGAAAATTGATAAATATGATAAATGAGTCTTATATTTAAGACCAAAACCAACTCAAGAATTGGGTTCTATATTAAGGACCGGAGGAGTATATATTTTCAGCTTCTCCTTCGTCTGAATAACCGAAACCACTTTACCATTTTATCAACAAAGTTGATCACGATCTTGAAAATATTTATAAGAAAATAGGTTGTCAGCTATAAAAATTTAACTAATAATTATAGTATCATATATATATACATATTTATATAAACATGGGGAATCCTAAAAAAATACTTTTAAATTTTAAAATTTCAAATCAGTATTGTTTACTACATTTCAATAATAATTGACAATATTTGGAAAGCAAATGACAATATGTTTTTATAGCCACTCTTAATTTGGGATTTTGAAATTTTTGAAGGTATTTATTTCTAGATTCTCCCTGAAAACAGTAACATTTCTTAATCCACGTCAGGCCAAGTAGAACTCTATGGAACGGCAAATTTTATTATCAAGTATTTAACTCGACTTTATTTCCATAATTCAAACTCGAAAATGTCTAAGATAAACCGGTACAATTCAGTGGTATGTCTTTACACCCATATTTCTTTTATGCAAGTGAAAGCAGCCTAATCTTAAGGCTATCTTCAAAACCCGATACAAGTCTTCATTGTGCTCTCATTAAATGTGAACACATTTCTCAACAAAAACTCACCTAAATTTATCCAACTCTTTCTGTTATTCTTGTTAGCGGCTCATAATTTTCTTGTCATGGTCCCTTTTTAATTTAGAAAATTATAATAAAATCATATAGAAGAGAAATAATTACTAAAAAGTCTAAATAACAACCTCAACAGCTTATAATAACAAATCCTATAATGAAAATAACAACCTCTGAGACTTGTTTTTTAATTATTTTCCTTGTTTGGGATTTCATTATAATTCGCTCTTTTAATTTTTTTTGAAACCCAAACTTGTCGATGTAAAATATTACACCACTCATTCTAGAACAATTGTTATTATGGAATTGTGTAACAATTGTTACTACCTTCGGTCCTTAATATAAGACCTTATTTTTTATTTTGATCCTAAATATAATATCCCAATCCACTTTGTGTCTCAGATTTATATTTTTTTTCAAAGTAATCCTTCCAACAATGATAGTTTTAGATAACAAATTTAATTAGCAAGGATATTTAAAAAAAATACCTATTCATTACAAATAGCTAACTTAACTAAATTTCTTAATATCTCCAAATTAGTCAACTGAGTTTTATAATTAGGACCAGAAGTAGTATTATGAAATTGTGTAGACAAGCTCACGAAGCTAGGAAAATTTTTGGTGAAGGATTGAGATTAGGAGTTATTTATATAAGCTGAAGGACCACAATCTCTGGAAATAAATTGAAAGACCAAAATCCTTCTTTACCAAAATAATTAAATAAACAAATTGTAATGATTGAATTTTCCTTAGTTTAACTACTAAATTTTGGGATCTGAGCGGCAAATTCATTAGACAACTCCCCACACGTATGCTTCTCTTGTTAACCGCCAGATGCTGTATTATGGTTTTTGATTGGTCATGCTAATTCAAATCGCATCATAATTGTGTGCTGCATTGAATGTGAAAGAATGAAGTTCATATGCAGGTTTCAAATCTTGGCCACAGTAATAATGAGATGATTTTGCTGAATTATGAAGTAGTCATTAGAGAACTAGGAAAAAGAAAATTACATAAAAGCCGACAACAAAATTGCCCACTCATGTCAGATAATGAAGTGGGGAATATTCCGGCCACAAAATGACGCTACAAAATTGGGTTTGGAAAAAAGAATCTTCTTCACTTTGCCAACTACTTAAGCCAAATCACTGTTGTTCATATTCAAAAGGAAGGACCTCCTCTGACACATCCACCACTTCTTCAACTTCAATGTCCTTAGCCTCATATTCCTCCTCTTCATCACTGGCTTCGCCATCTCTAAGCTTTTGCCTCTCTGACTTTTCTCCTTCATGAAGATGCTTCCATTGACTGAGCCACTTGTCCCACTCTTCTTTCAACACTCTACGCTTCTCACGTTCCTGTTCACTAAGAAGCAGGGACACGTCTTGGTCTTCTGCCTCGTACTTCTTACTGTACTTCTTCAGGGTCCTTGCAATCTCTTCCTCTTTTTCTGAACTCAAGAAAGATGGCGGTCTTGGTCGCCATAAGAACTGTTTGGGGAAGAAAAAAAAAGCACAAAAAGAAATGTGATTACTCAACATTTGCAGGAAAGACTAGCACAGGACTACTAATCAATACAAACTTCCAACACAAAATCTTCTATGATCCACGCCCCACTTTTAATCCTTCAAAGATGAGGTATTTTCATCTTCAATTTAATCTATCATAAAACTAACTTCTCAATCCAGCCACAATAGTGTTTATCAGTTTGGTCACTAGATTATCTAATCAGATTAGTTCTTTACCAATGAGCAATTGTCAAATTATTCTTTCACAAATAATATCATTATCAATAAGGCCCTGTATCGAATTATTGTAAATAAAATGAGCAATGAATTAAAAGACAAATTTAAAACTCATCAAATAAGAACTATGTCACATCAATTTGTCATAATGTCAATCGTAATAAATAAAGACTTTATGGATGAAGATTAAATTTATGAGGGGGGCCAATTTGAAAAAGACTAAAAAAGGCAATTCTGAGGGACCAAATTGAGAAATATTTTATCCATGAGGGATCAGATTGAAAAGATTATTATATGATCGAGGAACCAAGTTAATTAGTTAAAGAATACCTCACTTGTGAAAGACCAAAATGGGCTTTTTTTTTTTTTTTTTGGTCAACAAGAGGACAATTAACATTGCAATCCTTAAACCTTCTGCCAGTGACCAGCTAAACAAGATATACGTATATTACTCCTTCGACCATTGTAATGCTTGAGCTAACAAAAGCTTCGAGCAAGGAGTAATGACACACCTGGAAGAAGTGATCCTTCAAGATACGATAGAGAAGCTTGCCATTGAAAGACCATATATTGAAACCATTTTCCATTTCATGGACCGAAGTCACAGAAGTTGCAACATACCTAGAGCGTCAGATAGGTAATTTCAGAATAGCAACAACAATTAGATATTGAAAAGTCGCTTTAAATAAATATGAAATTATAGAATGATTTTAGAAAAAACTAACACAAACATATGCCTTTATTAGAAGTATCAAAATTTATTCTTCAAAGTTTACCTTCCTGTTGGGTCCCATTCAATATCTGTTGCCATAAAATGTTCAGCAGTAGCCATAGTTTCAAGTTCATCAACATTATAAAATTCCAATTGTCCATTGAAGCCTTTCAACCCTGCAAGCACAATGTAGCGACCTGCAGGTGACCAGAAAAGAGCATTTGCCTGCTTGCCTTTCAAAGTAACAAGTTTTGAAACCCGGCCAGTGTTCTGAGCAGTCCGCATGGTGTAAAAGCTAATATCAGGCTTAGGGTTATCACCATGAATAACCGCAAACCTATGACCTTTGGGCTCCCAAGCAAAAGCAATAATCTTATCATTTTTATTCTCAAGCTCCAGAACTTCAATGGGTATATCACGTTCTTTTATACGGAAAAGCTCAAAGCCTGTGTATGTACTTTTTTTGGTCTTCGTATACCGATCTACCTTAACAGCAAGGTAGTCCCCATTGCTTTGCCAGTACATCTTGCAATCACTAACACTGAAAAGGTTCTTCTGCCTGAGTTCCTCTTTACTGGGGATTTGAACAAGACTAACCTACTCATAAACCAAAGCATAATATCAATTTACAACACTTGAGATAAGACCATGAACATTAATCTAATGTAGCGAGCCAAACAACCAGAATGCAGGCAGTTCCACAAAACAGCACTTACCCTAGCAGGCTGGTTCCCGCCACCCATCTCAGGAACGAAAAGTGCAAGAATAGGATCTGTTGGAGACCAGCTGAAATCCATTACATTTTCAACCTTCAAGGACTTCTTGTCAATAAGAGAAAAGGTCTCAGTCTCATATACAGAGATCACATTTTTTCCCATTCTAGCAAAGTACTTGTCGTCTTTACCACCACCCCATCTGCAAAGATAATATCAATGTGTTTGGCCCACCAGAGATTCTAATACAATAGGATTTAAGCTAGAAAAGGGGGGGAAATGGTACCTGAAAACAGGCCATAACACCCCAGCAACACCCCCAGTACCTCCAACTGCAAAATCGTCTGCACTTCCTTTGAAATCCCTCATCACTTTACCAAGCCTCACATCAAATATATTTATCACAACCCTCTGTAAATAAAATTGACATTAGGAATGGCGCAAAAAAGAAACTCAATAAAATGATGAAGACAGGAGATTGAACTCACATTAGCATCACGAGGATTGCTTGGTTCATGGCTGCTATAAGTTACCAAATACTTCTCACCAGGTGAAAAATCAATGAGTTTCACCTGCAGTTAACATATGTATCATATAATTTACAAGTCAAGAGAAACATAATCTTAACTCTAACACAAAGCAAAACCTGTGGATGAGCATATCGCATAAGACGATTGAAGTTTGTAGCACCTCCCCAAACAGCTGCCCCCTGCCTGTGAACTGTTGCCAAATACGTACCAAGTGGAGACCATTGCACAAAACTCTCAGTCCAAAACTGTATTTGCATCAGATATAAGCTTGCAGTGGTCAGCAGTGACCCAAAGGGGCAGTGAAGAATAAATGATGAGAAGGCATTAATAGTCATACAGTAAAAAGGATGTGCACTCACTGTACGCTTGTAAACAGGATCAGGCTTCAAATGCCTTGCATCATTCCACAGAACCTCAGTATCAGAACCAGCACGGATCACAAACTGGTCTCGGGCCTTTGCATCAGTAAGCCAATGCTGAAGATTTTCCTGTTGAAGGTACAATACTAGACTGCATCACAAATATTGAAAGCTGCACATTTTACAGGCTCAAAATGATAGAACAATAAGGCATCAAATGTTGCATGTAAAAGTCTGAAAGAAAGCCACTAAATCATAATCATAAATTAAGAGAAAATATATACACACATGTGGTCACACCGCAGAGTCTCCAACAAGTAACGCACACATTTTGATTTTCAAAAGGATGCATGGTATATGATAATATTGAAATGGCTTCGGTTCAAATACAAATGTAAAAGAAAACTAGATAAATAATCAAATAAAACAAGGTGATGACCAAAAATAAATACATAAATAACAATACGTGGTCCCTAATAAGTTAAAAACACCTTGCGGATGTAAACCAGCAAAAATTGTTAAGCAATCAAATGATCATAATTCCTGGTCTAACAAATGCATATGGTCATCGTAGTAATATGCAATAACAGATATAAGTTGCATGGAAGGGTCAAGTCAATTAAATAGATAGTTTACATAAATAAAACCAAGACCACTGATTCCCTAGATGGACACGTGAAAGAACTTAAGAGTAGCATCAAAGTTCAAAACAAAAGTTTAATTTGCCGTTCTGCAGCTCTTCCTAAAATGTAGATCTAAAGAACAATTTCAAAACAAAAAAAAAAATCAAGCATCAAGCACTGAAAAGAAACAGAAGCGATATAAAATATTACTCCGGGAGCATATGGCTTTGTTTCAGGAGGAGCCCACTGATCTGGAACTTTCATAAACCGATCGAAGTCATCAAACATGGTCACTGAAAAAACATGTTGACGATCCAACTTGTATCCATGTGTCTTTTCTTTGGCAAGCTCAGCTTCCTAAAATGTGCGCCAGATTTGAAAAACAGAAAAATGAATTAACTAAAAAAAAATCTAATGCAGCGAACTAGAGGGAGAAAACTGATACTAAATTACTAATAACAAAGTTTTACATAAAAAAACGGAAAATGTTTCTTTCCTTTTGGGTTTTGACGCTCATACCTGAGGAGTATTGTACTCAATGAAGCAATAACCTAAACTTTTCTCAGTACCAGAATCAACAGGCATAAATAGGCCATCCTCTTTAATCACACCAATCTGACTAAAAATTTTACGTATTACACCTTCAAGCTTCTCAAACTTCTCCCGGGGCACAACTGGGAGGTTATCCACAACTATGATGTTGCCGAATCCAGAATCCAACTCCAGATTCTCCTCATGGTAGATATCTTCATCATCACTATGTTACGAAAAATAAAGCATAATCAGATCATTAGGCCAAGTGATGAATCAAAAGTCTGACAATTGTAAGCACCAATTTACATAAACCAAGACAAAATAAGACATTGTGAAGAAAGGTCGCCTCAAACATAAGTTACTTCAATCCTTAAATAAAGAAGGCATAAATTGTAATTGCATTTATCAGTTTGGACGAGGAGAGAGAGAGAGCTAATATAAGCAACTTAAACACTGAATTAGGTAGAAACAAGGATGAAGCCTTCATCAAGGCGGTTTCCCATCGCCAATTCTCTCATTTCTAAACTCCAAGGTTAAAAGAAACTTCCTACTTAAATAGAAATAACGAAATAACCAGACTAATTAAATTTCACCCCACGAACCATACCTTATGCAATGGATACGTGAATTTTAAAATATAGCGAAACTACTCCCGTAGCTTAAATGTAACACGCACTCCCGCAAAGACCAAACTCCAAATCCCACTTCATTAAGCGCTTGCTTGTATCTAGAAGTTCAAGGGAGCATGTTGTTGACATTACACATAAACTCATGGGTAAAATGTATTTTTCCCACCAAAAACCGTAAAATCATCATTTACTGAGTACAGACGCCAAAACAGTTGCCAAGGAAAGACTTAATTTTTATCTGCATTACCCATTCATCTACCAGTACAAACCAGAGACGTGCAAGAAGCCGGGGGCAAATACCTGACGACACCAAAATCATCGCCTGGCGGAAGCCGAATGGAATCCAGGTCAATGGTGGAAAGATCGACTCCAAGCCGTAATGCTGTTGCCTCAACCTCATTCATAACCATTACGTCCGCCATGACTAGACAAAAGGATATGAATTATCGCTTACAAACTACAAGGTTCTCGTTCGTCGGAGGAGACTGGTACTGTTTCCAGACATAAATAACTAAAAAGTGCATATAGTTTGAAACGGGAGCCTAGTCGTGGCAACAACAGTCTGAGGTTAGCGCGGCGCGGAGTTAGGTTTTGCGAGCAAGGTAGACGAAGCGGGCTCAGATCCTTTTATTATATCCTACCCCTCGTTTTAATTCGTTCTGTAATATTCGTCCGGTGATAAATATAACACTTATTTTTAAAATATAAATTATAATATAAAATGAATTTTATATTTAAAACCGAAGAAGTAATAAAATAAATATTATTATCGAGGGTGAACAAAATGATCTCAAAGTCTGGATGATTTTTTTTTTTTGCGCAAAATTATTATTATGAAATCACGAAAATAACATGATTGTTAAAAGAAATCTTAATAAAAGGTGGACAGCTTATCATTTTCTAGATTAAAATTTGTCATTCTTTTTTTTTGCCATAAAATTTGTCATTCACATATTATAAAACCTTTTAATAATTACACTCTTCTATAGGGATCACACAGTAATTCTTCTTCTTCTTCTTTTTGAGAATAAAAGAAAAGTAAAATCTAAAACATAATATTACATCTGGTTTTTAATATAAGAACTAGTGTTATATTTAATTTTAAGGCAAATATAAAAATCAAGTATACTTTGCCACCAATATTAATCTACCTTCCTCTCAAGTAATTCCTATAGTAGTTGTATATAATTTAAATATAAATAATTAATAAAGATATTTTAATAAAAAAAATATATTTACTATAAAAAAAACTAATTTAATTAACTTCTCTAATCTTTTTGAATTAGCTAATTAGATTTTATATTAAGTATTGTCACGAGATGGTAGAGGGAGTTCAACCCCATTTATATCATCCAGCACAAAGCCAGCATCCATCTAGTCATATCATAAATCACGAATGCATAGAGTCAAAAAAGAAATATGGTACTCTTAAACAAAACTTAAATATTTATCCTCTTATATCACATTCTCAACATGACTTCCACCGTTCAATTGTTAAATATGCAAATTTTCCTCCCTTTTTTTGCGGGGCCAACAAATATGCATATTTTTCTATTTCAGTTATGTAAAATTAACTCTTATAATTGTTTTTAAAAATTTTAAACCCTTTTTTGCCTTGAAATTTCAAACCCCTAACAAGATATATCCCTTATAAATAAATAAAAAAATCAATGTTAGCTTAATTGATGCAAAGTATTTAGCAAAAATGAAATTTAATTGCTTGGTTTTAATTAAAATTTCATTTTCATCCCTTACATTTAATTAGTTTTAACTTGATATCCTAACTCTATTCTCGATTTCATTAGTTTTTCTTTTAAATTTATTTGGTTACATCTTGAACCCTTCTCTTCATTTTTACCCTTATCTCTTAATTCCATTTGGTTTCTGATCTATTACTCTTTTTTCCATTTTTAATCATCAATCAATTAAAAAAAAAAAAAGATGATAAACTTTTCCTTTAGCACATGAAATTAAAACATTTATCGAACAAAAAGGTTTCCGCGATTCATCAGTAATATAGAAGGAAAATCATTAGGTAATGCCAAAAACCTGTACTAGCATTTTGAGTCGTGTACAAAATTTAAATGAATTAATTTTACTTCCATTTTTCTGTAAAATGAATATCAAATTCTCAATCATTCAGATTAAATAGATGACAAATTTTACCAAAAAATTATTTTTCTACCAAACAAAAATAAAAGAATTCAATCATCAAAAGAAAGAATACAGACTCCTCGCTAACAGGTGCAGGATAGGAAACCTGACGAGTTCCTAAAAATTGTGCCGGCAGGACTTTCTTTAATTCATTCCTATAGTTATCAGTACAACTCGTTTAAGTAGCATGCGAACTCATGTTAGATTTGTCGTACAATCAGACAAGAAACTAAATTGATCAGGCAAATGAAGATACAACTTCCCACGTTAGCCAAGCCAAAACAAAAACAAAAAGTGTTGCCGCTAGCTATCAATCAATCTTCTTTGCAGAAAGAAACTTCCCAGCCAAGTCAGATTTTAACTTGCATCCGAAATGTCTTGTTTTCAGAAATAGGGCATCAATTTCTTCTTCCTTCTTCTCATACACGTAGAAAGCTATAAATGCAAAAGTAATTCCTGTAGCCATGAGAATAACGAGTTCAGTAATATGGCGTTTTCATTACTACTACTGAATTAATGGGAAGCAAATAGGTACATGGCAGTTTACAACAGGCTACAAAAACAAGCTCCTTATATTGCGGCAACATTATGTGCCAAGGAAAAAGTGATTCAATGATGTTTCTGAAGTCAAGTCAGGTTAGGATACCTAGGAAAGCCCAACTGATGAGAAAGTGATGAATATCTTAGTGTAAAGAAGTCAAATTCTCAAGTTTATACGAAAAAATAAAAATGAATAGATAAATAAATTCAACACTTTTAACATTCACAATAGCAATTTTCAAGAAGGTTGTTTATAAAAAATTATAAGCTATACCGAAAGAGAAATGTCAGGACATTTATTATTAATATTTGGTGTTACGGCACTGAACAGACCTACAAAATGAGCTTCCTGAAAATGTTCAAAGTTTTACCTAACATTTCAAGCATGATTTATGATTCAAAATTAACCAAATGTTAGAGCTTGCATATATCATCTAAATTGATAGAATTTGGATTCTCTGAAGTGAGAAGTCTATAAAATTCTTCTGAAGAGACATAAAGAGAGGAGGGGAAGAGAGTGTGTTAAAGGAAAAAAAAAAAAAAATCCCAAACACAATCCCTCCCATTGCATCTCTCTCTCTCTCTCTCTCTCTCTCTCACAGCTTGAATACAGGCCTTACACTTCAGAGAATCCAAATTCCATTTAATATAGGACACCTGTCATGATTAAAATGTGGTAGGAATTAATTTAATTGTGTGGAGGCAACTGTGCCAGCTCGGACATGCGATGTAACTCTATGGAAACAAACCCACCTCAATACATGGATGCACGGGAAGATAAACATAGACAGCATACCTATAAAATATGTATTCTGAAATGATAAGGCTCCAAGGAAGCTAAGAATGATGAGAGATACAGTAACCTATTGATCACCAAAGCAAAGGCTGCGTCAGCATATCAAATTTAATGGAGAATGTAAACAGTTTGCGTATGCAAGTTAAATAGCTTGAATTGCCCAGGACAAACTGCACATTCATGTTCATTTCAGCTGATAAGTACTCAGGCTTTACTCAACCAAAAAAAAGGAAAAAAAAACCAATAACATTAAACAATATTATAAAATGTCTATTTCAAATCTTCCAAGGATGTTCTATGAAATTTTCAAACCCATACGTAGAAGTTAACATTTATATCATGATCTATAGAGCAAGGTATTTAGTAGAAAGCAATATAACAAGGAAAAAATTGCAACTTAGCATACATAATTACACACCTTGAAAAACAGCACCCAATTATTCCCTTCTGCAAGGGATTTCAAAACATTGACAGCAAAATTCCATGAAGAAGCAAGGGAGAGAACAACTTGACGTGAATTGTCTTCTGATAAGTGAAACCAAGATGCGGGTACTTTCTCAATTGTATATCCCAATCTGCAGCAACATAAGGCATTACTTATAGTTAGCATTTATCTTCACATTCAAAATCATAACGCCTCTAATTATAACACCATCAATTATGCCATCATTTAAGTCATTGTGCAATGATTTTCTTCGCGGGACAAAAGAAAAGTTTCATTCAAGAGCAGAGCAAAAACTGCACAAAGGGCCAGGGGGAGGATAACATCCTCCAAATCAGAGAAACTAAGAGAAAACAAGAAGACGAAGGATGAATAGTATGTTACACATTATTGGACATTTAGATTCATGTCGACCTTTTAGCATGTTCAAAAAAGCATAAAGAACTTACATTTTCTCAGGTAGAATGCCGTGGACAAATAAAAACACCGATGTGAACAATAGAAGCTTTGAAAGAGCAGTAAGAACAGTAGACCCAGATGCAATGAAGTTGTAGTATATGGCAAACAAAATTAACAAAGCAGTGACAGTTTGCTTTTTATCCTTCCAGAGCAATGTGTCAGCAACTGCAAAAAGCCAATAACAGTAAATTTGCACATAGGTTAAAACCTATAGAAGAACATATGCACAGAATATATTAACTCCCAACACCAACAAGTTATTCCGTTGTGTACAAGAAGTAAATTAGATCTGAGGCTTCCAGCTAATTTAGATTCTTAAATTACTATGAAGACATTACTATGCATGTCTAAACAGATAGATAATAATTATCTTTAAAAGGAAAACTTGTCTCTAGGCAAATGATTGGCCTTTCACTTGATTTATTACCCCAACAAAATTACAAAAACCAAATGCAGAGTGCTGCTTAACCTATAAAGTTAATCCGTATTGGTGTTTCTTACTAGGCTCTTAAAATTTTAATCATGATCCATCATCCAACTTGACAGCTAATACATCAAGAATGTCTCATTAATCTAGGAATTTATAACACAAAAACACAGAAAATGTGCCCCTAAGTTGTAAGTGTAGGTGTAAAAGGCTAGTGCAGTGGAGTTCAAAAGCAAACTCCAAAGGATTAGACCAAAGAGCTCAGTAGTTACTTCAGGCTTCTCATAGGTTATGCTCAAGTACTCCAATACACTTATAACACATCATCCCAAAATATACGCAAATGGAATGAGTTTATTGGATTCAGACATGGTACTGTATATAGTTTGCAAAAGGATGGACAAGTTAACAGTATTATTCATACCTCTTCCCCTTCCAAGATAAACGGAAGCTTTGGAAGGCCCTTTGCTTTTAGTATTAGGCTGATTTTCAGCTCTCAAGTGTGTATATGATTTAATAGTCCTTTGCAGACCTTCCTGCGAAGAAATCTCACGTTATCACCAGTTAAATTCCCCTGAACAGATAAGGCTATACAATCACTGATTGGATTAATGCATTACATAAAGACCACTTTAAAAACCACATCACAAAGCTGAGTTCATAATATGCAAGTTAATTTTAACTCAACACTGCCAATAGATTTATTGGCTCTAAATTATATGATTTTTCATCCTTTTCAAAGTAAGAACAACATAAGAAATGTAGATGACGAAGCCCCAGCAACTCTCACTGAAGCTCCTTAGAAATTCGTCAATAATAGACATGGAAGCATCTGAACAAAGCATAAATGTATTTCTGCATGGAAAGATAGTCATGTATCAAATCACTTTGTGAAAAGTTTTAGAACCTGAAGTGTTACAATGGGTGTGTAGCCAATGCCATCCTTTGCTTTTGAGCAACTGAAAGTTCTGCTGCAGGACAAAAGTCTTACTCTTGAAGGTGTCAACTGTGGAACCTTCATCCCATATGGACCTAGCAGCCTATAAACCCACTCCACCACATGTGCTATTGGCATTATAACAAAGGCAGGGATCTTTATTCTTGGCCTGCAAACTACATCAGTTCAGAGAAGAAAGAAAAGGCATGGATAGTACCAAAAAATATTACTTCTTTTTTACTAAAACCCATAAACAGATTTTGTTTCCAAACTGCTTTAAAATATTGTAAAACACAGGAATTTCTTGATTATTGTATAATACAAGGATGAATAAGGAGCCAATATCCTATTAGCAAAAATAAATTCACAAAACGTAATAACTATAAGGGCTCCTTGACCTCTCATCATAATCATCCACAGCCTAATGTGGGATATCATATTTCCTCTTAAATTTATACTACTTGATTTGTATAACAAAATGAATAAAAGGATGTACAATTTTGTGCAAGATTAAATAGTCATCAAAAATTAATTTTTGAATAAGAAACTACCTTTCATATCCCAGACCTTCCAGAATAAGTGACATAAACTCCCAAAACTTATAGGTTCCATATTTGTAATGAAATATGCCTACACAATGAAGACCCATCAGCCAAAAGAAAAAAATTTACACTTATTTAACCTGCTAAAAAGTCTGGTTACATTTTTTCCTTTGGCAGGACAAATGCAAAGAGCACTAGAGCACTTATTGAGTTAGCCAATAATCCTCTTTCAATTGAACTGTCTGTCTCAACAATCTTCCTTTACAGACTAATAAAACATAATCACCTGCCCAGAGGCTTTTCCTGCAACTGTCCCATCCGAAGCTAGAGCTTGATCAGCACATATATGGGCATGTGCCACATTTTCAACATAAGTGAAATCATAAAGGTTGTTGCCATCACCAATTATGAACTGGTCAAAAGAGAAATATATATAATATATCAGCATATGAAAAATAGGCTTTGCTGAAGAAAGATTCTACTAATAAGCAGTTATAAATGCATGGCTTTCAGTGCCCCATTTCAGTGTACCTCAATATCTCTATATGTGAAATGAAGCGGTCTTCGTTCAAATTTCAGCCAATTTATGGATACTTTCTAAACAGTTTGGACCAATTAAAAATCATTTTTCACAATAAAGCCAAACAGGATAAGGTATGATAAGATAAGGCTTTTTTTTTTTTTTTGGGTGAAAAGATAAGGCTTAATTTTAAAACTCTAGTCTTTCACTCATGTAACATTACATAACGTATTATATTGCATAAAATAACACAGCCATTTATTCAGTCATACATTGCATAACAATAGACAGGATATATATAAAACCCCTCATTGGCAACGTTCAGTCCCCATTGTACTTCACATTAGAAGATAAACGTATCTCTTGGATTGCATTTATTTGAGCTGACATTATTATTATGGTTTGCCTGTGCCAATGATCATAAGTTATCATTTTTTGTAGTGTACTTATGCTTTTATGAGGTAAATCATCCTTTTCTTCTGAATTTTTCCTCATAAGGATCTTTTTTTTTTATACTTCAATAATTATTTCAAAAATTTTGTGAGTTCTAATTATTACAGGTTGCAGTACTAGTAACCAATAAAACTTAGCAAAGAAGCAAAGGAGCCATGGCTGCAACCTCTAATATTCAGAATGTTATTTCTCAACTCTGCTTCAAAATATTCATTACAACCCCTTCTGATCTTTCTGCCAGGCTCCAAAGCATGCTTTTTGAGTTCAACCCATCTCCCAGTTTCAACCATATGACCAAAATTACTGGCACCGTCTCTATGCCACTACCCCCATTGGTTGATGATTCTTCATTCTTGGATCCAGCAGTGCCACTTATTATTGCCTCCATTGAGAAGGTATCAAAAACTCAAAGGGTCTAATCCCACCCTGGCCGCCCCTCAAGGCCTAATTAAGCCATCCATCATGTAATGTATAATAGGGCTTTAATAGACAAAATCACTTTATTTAATTTATGGATATGATACATTCTGGCAATCCTAGATTGGCCCATCTGCAGATTACACAGTCTAGTGATTCAATGATTTACTTAAGCAGTAAAAAGTACTAAAGATTAGCCATGACTATAGGTCCACAAAATATATTAGCCTAAACATCATTTCATCCCCAAGGTAGTGTGATCCAATGCCTAAGAATATCAGCACACACACCTAACAGCAGTCATACGCTCACTGTTGTCATTTTGCTTAACTCATTGGTATGGGATGGGGAATATGGGGCATGAAAAACATCTTAGAGATAGTATCAAGTGTATGCTTTAAAATCCTACAATGAAGACATTTAAGCCTTCCGTGCAGAATATTTTGGTTGCTGAGTAACTTTTATGTGGAAATATGCCTTCAAACTGAGGATTAAATGACAAAAAGCTTCTTCTTCTTTTTTCTGCTGGTGCGTGAAGAGAACCACATACACCTTCAAATCAATAGAAGAAACCACACTAACCTTTGATTTCCCTGCCCTGGCAGCTTCAACTAATGAAGGCACAAGCAGTTTATCTCCAGGCCCAAAAATGCTGCTGGGGCGTATGCAGCATGTTAGAAGCCCCTCGGTCCCATTTGACTTAATGACCAATGCCTCCCCTTCTGCTTTAGTAGCAGAATAATGGTCATTATGCTGAAATCAGATGAATCCAACTTAAAGCCACGTTATTGGACAATTACCCATAAAAAATAAAATGACTTCCAACTGTTCGATTGAACAATAAACATCCACAGATGCACACATCCCAAGTTCAGACTCACAGTGAACCTTGAAAAGAATAAATTGATACTAGCAGTAATTTTATGTAAACTTGCTGAAGCAAGTACCTTAGGTGGATAAGGCAATGATTCATCTCCATTAACAATTCCATGAATACCATCAAAGACCACACTAGGAGAGCTTGTATAGATAAGTCGCTTCACTTTGAGCTCAACACAAGCATTGATGACATTCTTTGTCCCTTCAGAAGCAAACATCGCGTTACATTTAAAGCAAATTACCAAACAGCTTGGTCATGAATTAAATAGGTAGAAAAGCAGTTTACCTTCAACATTGACTGAATGATGAAGCAGGAAGTTGTTAATGGAAGAGTTTGGAGCAGCCATATGGAACACAACCTCAGCTCCTTCACATACTGCAGTGACAAAGAAGCAGTTACACAGAGCTCAAATATCCTCCTCCACATTTTTAGTAGCAAAGGAGTTAAACAACCAAAAGTAGAGGGGGAGCTACCTTTAAGTACTTGGGCTTTGTTGCGAAGATCTAAAGTCATATACTGGGCACGACCAGAGCGTAAAGCTTCACCAAGAATTCCTGATTCTTCAGCTGGTTCAAGTTCAATGTTGGCTCCCAAATCAGTGATCCGGACAGAGTAAGTATTGTATTGGAGTAGCATTTCAACCAAATGGCGAGCAGCAAAACCGCGTCCTCCAGTTACCACGCACCATCTATCCTCAATTCCCATGGTTCTGTTGTGGAAGAACAGCTATTAGAACTCGTTTATAGGGGAATCACTCACACAAATCATGCAGAATATGGTTGGGAAAAGGAAGGGGTAGATATCCACCCATTTTTTTCACTATATTTATTCATATCCGTCAAAAACACCTTTATACAAACTCTACCTAGGTCAGATGCATAATAACATTTCTAAGATCTGTATCCAGAACTACTAAAGTCCAAAATATATGATACACTGGAAATACTCAAATTCCTGAAATATTAGAACATCGTCTAAAATATAAAGACTGTAAAATGTATCTAAAGTAGGAATGCGCGTGACACAAAAAATAGTGTGCATGGTCCAACTCCTCTCTTTTCATTGTCACCCATCATTCTCAGGAGCTAATGTCATCATAGTATTTAGTACATGCAAAAAAAAAGAAAAAAAAAAAGATATAAATAAATCTAAAAAAGTGTGTCAAGTATTGAAAATTTGGTTGATTCCGCACCATGCTTTAAGTCTCCTATCAGAGGAAACCGACACAACCTGTTCTTATTCGGGGTTGGTGGAATGATAAACGGGTCAGCAAGCCCCAAAGTTTGCATTACACAAAATCAATCAATCTAAAAACGGAAAGGAAGTTAAAACAAAGAGGAACCATACGGAAGAGACTATTTAGATCTAAAATGTTGAAAAATTGAATCCCAAAAAAAAAAAAAAGCATACCAATGCAAACGAGAAGGCTGGGAGCGGGTGAGAGGCTTCGTCTCCGATCGGTAGCTTCCGTCGAGATCCAGTTAGAGTACAATACTCCAGCTGACCGTCGACGGGGACTCGGAAGGTTTTAATTTCAGCAATCGACGGCGGACTGGGAGTGAGAGTGGTGAGGGAGAAGTGCTTTGAGAAGAGGTCAAGACTTGGGGAGCATTGTTTATGAATTATGATCATAATTTCCCGAATCAATCAAGTCCTCAATTAAAAATTAAAAAATAAATAAATAAACGGATGCATTGCCCAAAAAAAAAAAAGGGAATTTATTACATCTCTAGATATTTTTATTATACACTTTTGTAAAGAGAATATAACAGATATTTACTCAATGGAGATCTATATGTGTTATTCTTTCTTTAAACTTTATGAGAAATTCTTAAGTTGGCCAAAAAGATGAGATTTTTTTTTTTGTTGAAAAAAACACTTCGAAGATCCGCATTTTATCTCCATGCTCTGTTTTATTTGTCCATTTGAAGCACATTTCATGTTCATGAAAAAATAAATTCTCCTAAACTATTCAAATTAATTTTGAGCGGTACAAATTTAAATTAGATATTTTTTATATTTTAAGTAACCTTTGGTTTCAACTCACCTTTATAAATTGAAGTTGGAATAAAAATAAATTAGCATAGTGTAATTTATATTTAAATAGCATTTTTAAAAAAATCAATTTAACATCAATTTATATGAATGTGATATTAAAACTAAAGGTTGGTTATTTCAAATATATATATATATATATATATCTGTGTGTGTGTGCGCGCTTGTTTCTTGAAATTTATATCGAGTTTCCCTTTAGTCCTTCAAGTATATAGAGTATAAAAATGTACATTAATTTTCTTAAAGTATTTTACGTCAGGTTTTTTATATTTTTATATTTATATATGCTTTAATAGGAGAAGGTAAGTCAGTTTTTTTTTCCTTTTTTTATAATTAATGTGTCAACAATTTATAATAATTTTCCTGAAATACTCCTCTCACCTGTTTAGATGGATTTTTTTTTTTTGGGGACCAAAGATCTATTAGATGGTTGGCTTTTGTATTTCAATTTTAAAAACAGGGCATTAAGTACGGACAGATTTGTAGACATGGAGCGTAACATGGACTGTGAAAAGAATAAAGCATAACAAGTTTAACATCTTCATGGGCCCTCAGCGGCTAACTCAACCCATGTTTTTGGGTTGTTTTTTTTTTTTTTTGTGCTGATATAATCCAAGAAAAGTCCATGTCCACAGGAAATGTGCCAGATAGGATGGAAAGTGTATGTTCTTAGCAGGAGATGGTAAAAGAGTTTAAGAGGTAAGAGGGCACAATAGTTTTTTCTATACACCAATATTATATTCAGTATTACCAAGTTAGATTGAAGCACTAACGGAAGATCTCCTAAAAGAATTTACTCTAATGAACTTAATGAGAATGACGTTTAGCAGAACGGACTAGTCCCTTACAATATGAGGATTCAGGATTTAAATTCTTGTTAGATAAGTGCTCACATTTAGTGCTTGACAATATTCTGAATAGGATTATCTCTGTTATAATGATAGGTACCTAAAAAAAATAAACAGACAATTGATAATTTATCCTTCTCCTTGTGTGTGTGTGTCCATTTCTAGCTCATTAAGGCCCATTCTTTTTTGGGCCTGAAGGCCTAATATAAATCTTTTAAGTCTCAACGTCTCCATCCAAACATTTAACCGTCCTGATCCATCATTTTATCGTGGATCATTAATGGGCCTGCTAATCTGGCTAGTCTAATTATCAGCACCAAACATCAATATAATTTTTTATATAACCAATAATTTGTTCTTTTCAAGTGCATTTTTTAGTAATTCTTACCATAAATTCATAATTGTGTGCCCATGATAGTAATGCATTCAAAAAGAAAGATTATAGCTATTTATCAGTTTTTTTTATCATTTTATATATATTGTTTTTTAAACTTGTTCTTAAATCACCAACTTAAGTTATTTGTGAGTAATAGGGGATTTAATCATTCAAGCGAGCGACCGATTGGGGTTTTGAATGTCAATTTTTGTGCATGTGGCCACCTAGTTTTGAGGGGTTTATTTTTTTTTTGGAAGCGTTTTCAAAACAAATAATTCTAACAAGGTTTTAAATTTTTTCTAAAAAACACCTTTGTAAAAAATATAAAAATAAAAATAGAATAATACAAGCCCATAATTTTTGTCATCTTGCTTTTTTCTTCTTCTCTTGCTTTTTATCTTAATTTTAAACTGTTCAAATCAAATAGCAACAAAAACTAAATTGATTTAGCAACTTTCAACATTTTGATAACTATATATATAATCATTGAAAATTTAAAATTAAAGTAACAGAGGAATAGGATAAGAGGACAATAAGAGGAGCTGAATATGTAATAAAGGTAAAATTAGAAATGGAGCCAATTGTGGTGGTCCTTGGTCACTTGTAAGTGACTGTTCTTTGGACTGGGGAATAGTGCTTTTAGTCAAAAGAACAATCTAGGACAATGAAGCCATTCAAAACCAGATTCCATAACACTTTCAATCAAACATCAAAGAACCTTAAAAAAAAAAAAAAAAAGTTCCCGTTAAAAATTCTATTGACTGCAATAACCTAAATCAAAGTATTGATACTCAGTGTAAATACTGAATAGAATTGCATAATACCGATACTTTCTCTGTGTGTGTGTGTGTGTGTTTGGCCTGAATCAATACTTTCTGTATATAAAAATTTATCTGATCCTATTTATCAATAAAATTTGTATTAGGAGGTTGTTTTTTTTTTTTTGCTACTTGATGTGCTACTTCCATTTTACAGTCTGTATGGATTTGAGGTGTGTAATCACGGAATATATTTTAATTTTCATTTTTAAAAAAGTACCTCGCTTTTTAAATTATTATTGATAATTTCAAATATATCATGACAAAAAAAATATTCCTTTGAAATAAAAAATATATGTTTTAGTTAAATGAAAAATAACATATATTTTTGGGGCCAAGTCATCAATGTATGAATATATTATATAAGTGTGTATATATAATAAAAACACGTCTATATACCACCTTAGTGATTCAATTTATTCCTAAATATAAGACCCTAATTCACTTTGTCTCTCATTTATTTTTTGTCACAATAATTTCATAGCGATTACATATGCTAAATAGTTTTCATTCTGATACACATAATTAATAAAAATATTTTAAAAAAATAATATATATTTATTACAAAAAATTAACTTAAGGAATTTCTTTAATATTTTTAAATTAGATGCCTATTTTCCAAACTTTTAAATTAATTGCCTAACTCTTGTATTATTAACAAGTTGATCAATGATGTAACTATTTTTATACCCCATACAGGAGAAAAAATATATTTTTTATTAAAAATTGAGTGGCACACATAAATTATTACATATGTATAAAATTTACACATTTTTAACTAAAAAGAACTCTAATTTCATGGAAGGAAAGTAACGTAATAATAAAAACTAAACCAACTAATTCAACCAAAAAAAAAAAGGAGGCAAAATATTAGTCAATGGTTCAATTCATTCAGTTAATTTAAAATTTTATTTTTTTGTGAAAAACTGGTTATTTAAATTAATAATTAAAAATAAAATGAAAAATGGATCGATGAAATCAATCAAAACTAATTAGACGTGCCAAAATGAGTTTGAACGATTTAGAATTCTTCCTTTTATCTGTTGAAAATAAAACCTTTTCCATTGACAACAGAAACCTTTGAATCGACGCAAGCCAAAATAACTGGAAAAATAATGCTGGTAATAAAGAAAAAGCCAGGTGAGTAAATTATGACCACCAAAATCCAAATTAAAATTAAAAGTGGTAAAAGGTCAATACGAGACAATATAAAGTGGGAAGGTCAACTTTGAGCTTAAGAGATAATTTATTAATATTATTTGTTGAATTGATAAGGTATGTATGTGTATGCATAAAAGGGATTGATGTTGAGACACTAACACACATAGGAAACAACATCAATTAATTCATTATTATTATTATTATTTATTATTGAACTGACGGATCAGCTCAGCTGTATTGCAGATCAATAAGAAAATCAGAAGGAAAAGAAAAGAAAAGGAAGGTTAACTAATAATAATTGATGATATCTTCCTTTTGATTTGTTGATTCTCTAATATGGTTTCTGAGGTTAACGAAGGGTTTGATTGGATGAAGGCGATTACTCTTTTCAATTAGTGGATCAGTCCTGAGATTGACAATGGACACTCATCATGCTCCAAACCCACCTTTCTTTTTCATTTTTTCTAAAAACATTAATTATTCTTTTGATTTTTAACACATTATTTGCTCTACTTTGCAATAATTTATAGAGAGAATCCCACAAAAAGAAATTTAAAATTACTAAATTTTAAATAAAAATTTTCTACAAAAATATGTTGTTATTTACAAGTTAAATGTTGTCAAAACCTATTAAAGTGTGAGAATTGAACCTAATTTGGAATTGAGTAATTTCAAACTTCTTTTTGTAAAATTCTCCCTTTTATGTTCATATTAAGAAAACATTTTTAGGTGCTTTCGGTTTACATTTTTATATAGTATCCACAAACTCATTACTTTTTTCCATTTATAAACAATATTCATTTACATATTCGCACTAGTGGAGGATACACTTTAGATAAAAGAATAATTAAACTTCAGTTGAGCTCAGCTTACAAAAGAATTTAGTATAATTATAATTAGTTATGATTATTCGTATATATATAAGTATTTTTATCCCATATCTATAATTAGCTCAACTTTACTATCAATTAATGTATAAATATATAATAATTTCTAAAAGCCGCACTATTTATAAATTTTAGACAATGCAGCATATTTCTTAAGATGTAGATTTTATTCATTTTTCATAGGAAGAAAATGCTCAATATTCATATATTGCATTAAAAAGAGGAACTACTAAGAAACACCATTGTTAATAGCATTATAACCTAATAGTATGAAATTTTTTTATAAATAGAAGGTTGGGAATATAATTTAGCCCTCCTTATAATCTCAAGCTAGCTGTTAGTATATGTACTTTTAATTAAAAAAAACCACACAATCACTTGTTATCAGAGTAATTTAATAACTAACTTAGAAATTTTGATTAAAAAAAAAATTGTTTGGCAAAGAACATTCATTATATGTAAGAAAGAAGGGAAAAAAAGTATAGTTAGAAAGCGTTGCAAATACTGCTTTATGCATGTCAAAATATTAATACTTGATAACAGATTTGATCATTAGGGAGGAAACCCAATGCCATAGATATATTAAAGTAATAAGGAAACATAATTTAATTGATAATGAAATGAATGAATGAATAAATAAAGATAGATCAGATCATAGGAAGGGAAGGGCTCAAATGAAAAAGGAGGTGGTTGGATGAAAAGGGAGAAGAGCACTTGAAAAGTGGTGGGGGTAATGGAAAGAATCTTTTAATGAAGGATAGACTAATAGAGGGCCCTTTATGTTTTTTCCATGGAAGAAAAAAGAAAGGAAAGGTAAAGAATTTCAATTCATAGTGCTTGATGATGGTGTGATTTGTCAATGGAAGGCCAAGCCCCTGTCAATTTCATGCCCCCAATACCATGAAATATGTTTGCTCTCTCTTCATTTCAATGACAATGACCCTCACCCATATCCCCTTTCTGATTTCCTTTAATTAATAACATTAGAGTTTATTTAATTATTTTACTTCATTCAAAAAAAACTTTATCTATTTATTTGAATTCAATATAGTTTTTCGAACTTCTAGTCTAATCTCATCAGAAGGAAAAAAAAAGTTTTTTATTGTTTGTTTACATTCTTGTTATAGTTGCACTAATAAAGCATATAAAGATGTTCAACTAATCATATAGGCTTAATCCTACTTAGCATATTAGGCTTGCTAACGCTAAATATTAGATGAAGTGTTATCCATCCGATCTAAGTGCTCGTTTGATCAAGTGCCAAGTTAAAGTTGAAGTAGTTAAACCTATAATCTGTAATTATAACTTTACTTAGTATAAAAAAGAAAGGATTATAAATAAACATAAATTGATGATTTGAGCATGAACTTATCAAGAAATAATAATAGATGAAAACAAGCAGTGAAATTTTAAAAGAAAACAGACAAAAATTGATGATTCATAAATGAACTTATTGATCGAAACAAGTGAGTTATGTTAGGGTTGCGTTGGAAGGGACTGGGTTGTGACTTTTGGGTTGGGTTGATGATACCAAAGGATCATCATTCCTTGTTGGTGCAATGCTTATCAGCACCACCAGAATTGTGTTGACTTCCATATCGCATTGTCTCTTAAGGACTTGCATGGCATTATATTCACATAACGACTAGTAATATCCCACCACTTTGCCTATCATATACATATATTGCATCACTCCCCATTACCCATCCTTCTTTTTCTTTCACCTTCATTATTATTCTTACTTTACCCTCTTACTCTCTCTAGCTTATCTCACTCATAATCACATTACAGATCTTCAATAATAATTGTCATTAAAAAAAGTCTTTAATGAAAGTGAGATATATATATTTTCTCTCTTTTTTTTTTTTGTAAATTTAGGTGGAGCCAAGGTATCCCCAAGCTATATTGGACTTGATACTAATCATTTTTATGATGAGAGTGGTTAAGAAATAGTCCTCCTAACAAGTATACTTTTCAGGATTTAAATTTGTGTTTTCCTTCTTACGAGAAGTGAAACTGCTACCACTTTAACCAACAACTTGTTGGTTCTTTTAAATATTTTTTTAATTACTATTCAATGTTTGGTTCTATTGATCAATTTAAATTAAAATACTAACATCTTGATCAATCCGTCATGAGAAGGATAATCATGATAAAAATTAGGTCAAATTAATTAGAATCATTACTTCCATCGTTCCAATCAGATTCTATCACTTGTTTTAATATTTCTGTCAGCATTTATCTCCAAATGTTGGCGTAGGAAAAGAAAAAAAATAGAAAACATGGTAGAATCTGATTGAAATAATGGGTGTAATGGTTTTAAGGAAGTTGAGCTAAGCTTTATCTAATAATTATAGTTTTATTAATATTGTGATTCACTTGTTTATGATTAGGATTAAATCCTATAAATTTGCATAGAGTATGTTGCATTGACCACACTGATCACAGGGCAATAGGTAGTGAATAATACGATAACACTATTTTTTGGGACCAAAATATGATAACAATATTTACTATCTGACAAAAAAGCATCAACAATATAATTATCATTCTTTGTTTTATTTTTTATACATTCATCTAAAGTAACTCCATATTATCAAATTGAATTCCCCGACGATCACCAAATTAACAAAAGCTTTTTGGTTTACAAACTTAAACTTTTTGAAATTACTTTAAAGAAATCAAGTCATTTCAGCCATCATTGATATTATCTTGCATATTATATCAAACCGTAATTATTCTATGCAATTCACATACTCAATGGGTGCTAGGCTTTGCGTTGAAAAAATGCTAATATGAAAGCAAATATGTCTATAATTAATTTTTGAAAAGAATTATATACTATCATAAACAAAGTGTAATTTATTTGATGCTGGGCCAACCATAGTTATCTTGTCAACCACTTCGAATATTAAGGTTCAATTATTGATATTATCACAGCCAACTTGCACTAATGTTAGTCCACCCAAAAATAACGTAAGCCGTAAATTGGCAAAACACTTGAAACACTAAAGCAAATGGAAATGGTAAATTAAACAAACAACGTGGCCAACATTAATTATTAAATTCCTCATGGATCACAAAAAGTGAATAATGAGCAAGGAAAAAAGTAAGTCGTCACAGATTTCGATCATCCACGATCATCACTATATATAGAATCATAAAGAAGAGAAGAAAGAATAATAAGAATAAGAATAGTAATAGTGCAGCCACGAGTTATCTTTTTCCCTTTGAAGTCTCAACAAACACTCACGTCTGAGTTCGCTGCTGGGTCCATCAATTACACTATCCAGCACTTCACCTAACAATGAAAACTCACCCTGAAACCAAACACATACACCAGAGAGAAATGATAATCATTGTAGATGAAATATACACAATAGCTTCTCTATGAAGGGTCAATGGGTTGAATAATAACAAGATGTGGTAACTGATACATATATAGCAGATAAATGCAGGTTAAATTTTTTTTTTTAAGCGATTCTACACTGTGTGAAATATGTGAGAAAAATTTTATCTTATAAAACACAAAAGAACCTTATTTTCTAAATGATTTTAAGAATTGTCAAACTAGCGTTTGCTTTCATGCCATCCATTGAGATGATATAGGGCCTTTGCTTTCATGAAGGGTCAATAGGTTGAATAATAAGGAGGTGGTAACTCATAGATAAAGTGTAGATAAATGTAGGTCATCAATTTTTTTTTTAATTAAATGAGCATGAACTAACAACTTGAGATTATCAGCGGGGCTAAACTCGTGACCTACCACTTAATGGAAAGCTTTGATACCACTAAACTACAAAAGTTATAATGGAGGTAAAGTTTGGAATAGGCAAGATCAAGCACGATGCTAATGATTTTGAAGCCACGAGGGTGTTTCAAAAAGACAGAATGGCTAATAAGTAAAGTCATTGAATGGTGATGACGAAATGAGACAAAGCTAATAAGGAGAAGCGAGAGGCATCCAAACAAAGTGTTATGGCTGTGTCAGGCCGGCCATGGATCTATAACTCTTTGCTCAATTATATTTCAGTAGTACAGCTCAGTATGGCTCTGTATGTGTCTGCTTCAGAACCTGAAGCGCCATACCCAGATGCTCCATTTAGATGGGGCTTAACTTGCATTATATAGAACACAAACCTGTCTCTTTCATTATTATTCATACCCTGAGAAAGAATATATCAGATGTGTGCAATATATCTCCTTGGATCCACCACACAGGAGACAAACTTGCAGGCAAATGAACACCTCACCACACAACACAGCCCATATCTCTGTTTCCTGGATTTTTCAAGTGAATGGGAAATATTCCTCAGCATATCACCGACCGTGTTAGTTTTTAATTAAGTGTTACAATTGATATTAACTATCTGCTTCATGCAATTGTAATTAGTACTACAGACCAATATTCAGCGTACGCGTACTTGAAGGGAACTGTTCCATGTTTATCCGGTTAATTACACCCAGCACTTTGATTATCTCATTAGAGTACAACACCAACAATAACCTGGGATCACATAATAATTGGTCATGCGGAAATTTAGAAAAAGGACCATTATTATTTAACAGAGTACCTTATAATAATTAAAATATAACAAATTATCTGTTTTTTTTTTTTTCAGTCAAAGAGGCTAATACCCGAGAAGAAAGGGAAAAGAAAGAGGTACAATTTTTTCTTATTTGTCTCGCTCACTCGGACTGACTCAGTCAACTCAAAAGGTTAAAAATTGATGTACAGAGAGCAGTGTCGCCGGCCATTGACAGCTCGATCGATATTCCAACTCGGACCCACTGAGTCAACTCACTAAAGTTCGCCGGCCGGAATTTTCCAAGCCGAAGTGGCTATGAGGGGCCGAGTGTGCCACCCTAGCAGAAGGCACCCGTTGTTCTCTTCCACTCTGTACCCATCTCCTCCGGCGAACACTGCCAATAACATGCTGGCTTGCTTGAACGCGTTGGAACCCAGGTGAACCGGTTCGAACCCGGCCGATCCCATCCGACCCCTCCACTGACTCAGTGTCTCGTGCCTCTCCACTCGCTCGGACCCTTTACACGCCAGCACGTTGCATATCTGCCTACCGAGATACAGCTCCGACATCAGCACGTCCTGACTGGCCGCCGGCGTTAACCCCGACGAGTTTGACGAGCCCTCCAGTGAGTCGAACATGGTTGAGTAGTAGTGTAGTGCCTCCGTGAAACGGTCCAAGAAAGCCGTCTCGTTGTGGTTTGCTTCTTGCTCCACCACAGTCACGATCTTCGGATTCATGGCCTTGATCGTGTTCAAGACCTTGTCGATGGCGCTGGGTCGGGCCAGGAGCTCGTGGAGTTCGAAAACGGAGTTAACCGCAACCGCTTCTCCGGGTCGGATCTCGATGAGCGACGGCTCGAGATCCACTAAGCTCTTGCAGACGAACCCGCGGAATTCGAATTGGACTCCGATTGTTTTGGCCAATTGCGCCAATTTCCATCCCACTTGTTGAAGAGCATCGGTGCTGTCCGAATGCGGAGGTCCGATTCCGGTGAGGCGGAAAGTCGGAGGACCACCGGGTCGTAATGCAAGGGCTTGCATTAATGCAGGCCATTGCATCCCCTGCTTGAGCCCGAAATCGATGACGTGAACTCTATCAGCGGTGGCGAACGCTTCAAGGATGGCTTGGTTCGCCGTGAAATGGGCGAATTTCAGGTAAGGGCAGGACTCATAGAAATGCATATAGAGCATATCAGAGAAGGCGGAATCGATGGACGGTTGAGAAATTCCGTAAATCCGATGAGCAAAAGCTTGAGCGAAGCAGGAAGCCACCTTCCTCATTGCCCCGGCTTGTGACGCCGCCAGCCTCTCCACGTGCTCCACAAGTGCTTCCGCCAGCTTCAAATTGTTCTGCTGAACCGCCTCCGCACATGCCATCAGCGCGTGCACGAGACGCACCCCGTTTTCTTGTGAGTCAACCAGAACCACCGGACGAGGGTGCTCTGGTACAGCCGCCGTCGACGGCAACGGAGCGGACGGCGACGGAGCGGATTCGGTTGAAGGTGAAGTTTTCAATCGCTTACGGCTATTCTCACTATCTGTCGTTTCGCTTTGTGGGAACGCCGCCTTGCCAGGAATAACTCGGAGGTCATACTCGGAATCATCGTGGTAACCGGTCGACAGATTCTCAATCTGGTGCTGAGAATTAGAGAAATTTCCGGTGGATATGACGGAGGAGCAGGCCGGAGGTAGAATAGGGCCATCAATTTGTTGGTTCGCCAACAGTACCGACGGATCGAGACAATTGGGAGAACCGTGGAGCTCGGTGAGCATGCTTTGAACCCAGCCATGGAGATCGGTTGGGTCTTTGTGGACAGTGTCAGAAGCAAGATGAGATATCCCGTCTTCCTGAGAAATGGCCATAACCATCTCAAGCCGCTCAAGCTTCTGGGCCACATCCGCCATGTCCGACGCCCGGACCTTGTAGCCCAAAGCCGCCAGTAACTCATCCATCCCACCAGAACCATCGAGCTCATCCTCCCATATCTTCATCTTCCCACTTGACATTGACGAACATTCAGGTTTAAAACCACCACCACAACCATCCATACTACTGTTATCTGGGTATTCTCTCTTCATCTTTTTCCTCTCCAAATCCAACAAGAAAACATAACAAAGCTACAGATCAGGTTTAGAATTCGTTCATGGCAGTGGAACGGGGTTCTGCTTTGCAATTTCTGAAGTGAAACAACAGAGAAAAGGATCGAATGGGTGAGGGGAGGAGAGTTGAAAAGGGCGAACCTTGGACGCTCAGAGTGGTATAGATAAAGGAGCAATGGAAGCCATAATAATAGAGGTTTTTTTTTTTTTTTGCCCCCTGCGTAAAGCTTTTTCGTCTGGACAGATCTTTTGGTTTTGGAAATTACGAAATTAGTATCTGTCTTTCCAATATTGTATTTTCCCATTGGGAAGGTAGGCAATTTATTTATTTTTATTTTAAAATTAAATTTTTGTTTTTACAAAATAAAAATATAGTAACACGAACATAAGACTTGTCCATCTAAATTTATTTATAATATTATAATTTTTAAAATATTTTTACAGAAATTCAAACAGTAAAAATATGTGGTAAACATGAAAGCGTGTACTGTTTGTTATGATTAAATAATCCAAAGTCTAAAAATAAACACCATAAGCCTATGTTTATCTATATTGAGTATTTTCTTGGTCATAACTGAGTTGCTTGGAGTGATTATATGCTTCTACTAAAAATGGAGGTGGGGCCCAAAGAGCCCCACACAAAATAAATAAATAAATAAAGGAGCCATAGGAGCACCGCAAAGCTGAAGGGCTGAAAGAGACACCGATGATCGTATGCAGGTGGTGCACTCCCAAAGTCCATACGCCGTCATTTCTTAGTCTGGTCGCCGTGTGATACTGATAGAATCCGCTTGAGAAAATTTATATTTACATATACAATATAAAATTTATAAATTGTCACCATATTTTATATGTTATCCGTGTAAAATATGACCCTATAATGTCGCTTCTAGTAACTGTTGTCATTGTTAGTTTGAAATTACCGTCTACTAAAAGTCTGTAATTAGAGACTGAATAGTAAATACTACCTCTCTTTTTTAATATAAAACCTCATTTGACTTTCGTTTTTATTTTAAATATAAGATTCCCACTCCACTTTATAACTCATATTTATGTATTTTTTTTCAAGATAGTTCTTTTAATAATGGTAATTCTAGCTAATACACTTGATTAGTAAAGGTATTTTAGGAAAGACAGTTCCTGTTTATTACAAATAACTAACTTATCTTATTTTCTTAATCTCTTCAAATTAGTCAACTAATTCTTATAATTAAGACTAGAGGTACTAATAAGCATAGTATCCTGAGTTTCTCTCTCTCCCCCCTCTCTTGTTAATCAGGTTTTCCGTTTATTAGATTTGAGTGGCTTTTTCTTTTTGCAACAAAATCATATTATTTACTAGAAAAATTATTATTTCACAATAAATGAGCAATATTACCAAGATTCAGTGTATAATTATTGACCGACAACTCGAAGAATTAATTTTTTAAGTTATTAAATAGCTTCCATGGGATTATATAATTATTTTATTTTATTTATTTGATGTGAAATTATTAATAAAAAACATTTTAAAAATCAAAACCATTCTTCTGCCTTCACCCGGTGAATTTGTGCTTCGCGTAATGTATCATCACATCACATTATTGCAGTCGCTCTCGCGCCTTGCTTTTAGCGCGTTTCTTTGTTTTTTTTTTCCCGATTAATTTTTCCACTGGGAGTCATTCAGTAGAAGTGCCGTACTACCTCCGATTCTGGTTAATTTAAAAAATTAGTTAAGTTAATTATTTATTATAAATAGGTGTTGTCTTTTTTTAAAATACTCTTGTTAATCATATATGTTAGCTATAAATACCATTTGATGAAACATTTAAAATATATAACTACTATAAGGACTATTTTGGACAAAATAAATAAATATGAAAAAAATTGAGATCTTAAATTTGGAATCAAATTAAACGTCAAATAAATTCTTATAATAAAGAATGGAGATAATATTAATTTCTTCCTCTAAAAAATTAAAATGAAAGAAAAGCTGCTGAAATTAAATTTTTTGGGAAAACCTGAATCCTAAGGAGAAATTATTAGCAAGACTTTCCTTCCTTCTTTCTTTCTTTTTCCCAAAACTATTTGGCAGATATTTAATCGGGCCCATCATGTGTATTTGACTTTAAAGGGTGATATTGGTGTCGTCATGAGAAGTTGTATAGCGGAAAAATTGTATTTAAATCAAAATATTTTGTTACTGCTTCTGGTCCTAATTATAAGACTCAATTAATTAATTTAAAGAGATTAAAGAAGGAAGTTAAGTTAGTTATTTGTAATAAATATATGTTGTCTTTCCTGAAATATCTTTACTAATGAACTATATTGGCTAGAACTACAATTATTAGAAGGAGTACCTGAAAAAAAATGTATAAATATAAGAGATAAAATAGATTTGGGTTTTATATTTAGGACCAAAATAAAAGTCAAATAGAGTCTTATATTAAAGACCGAAGGTAATACTTTCTTAGATGTTTGGCACGTTCATAAACTGCTTTTGAACATGGACACAAGTAATCTATTTTTCAGATTAACAAGAGATCGAAACCCTACATTAATTGCATTTGGTTTTATAGACCGAAAAAACGTAACTCCAGTATTTTTCTTACCATTTAATTAGAATTTATGAATAATATAATTTATCATAAGTGTATATGATGCGAGTATGAGACCTCATGGTTTTGCATATATTTTCTTTAATACTCCTCCGATCTTTAATATAGGACTTAATTGTTAAGTTGGTTTTGGTCATAAATATAAAACTCATTTCTCATATTTATCAGTTTTCTCTAAATTACCCCTATACATATTCCTTCAACCATAATCAAGTAGAAGAAGAAAATGGGGTATTAAGAAAGGTGATTATGATGTTTTAGGAAAAATATGTCACTTTCTTATAATTAACTAACTTATCTAATTTTCTTCATTTATCAAATACTACTTCCTATCTTTAATATAAGAGTTTATTTGATTTTTATCTTCCTCTTAAACACAAAACTCTAATATATTTTATTTCTTATATTTATCTATTTTTCTCAAAATAGTCCTTATAATAATGATAGTTTTAATTATAGAAAATGACACCTATTTATTATAAATAAACAACTTAACTAATTTTTTTAATTTATTTAAATTAGTTAACTAATTTTTATATTAAGAATAAAAATAATAATAATTATACATGGCATGCAATAAAAAAAAAAGAAAAAAGAGAAAACGTGCCAAAATGTTAATTCATTAGTGCAAGTGTTATGTGGGCCCACGTTGGTTCCGAGTGGAGAATAACATTTCGCGATGCATGAGGGACAGATCAGGAGTGGGGATAGAAACAATGGTGGCCACGCGTCACACTCCCGGGTGGGAGCCAGCGCCAAAGTGGTCACAGGCTTCACTGGGCCGAACAAGTGGGGCTTGGTCGGAGCGAGTGGATGAGCACGCGCCGAGTGCGCGAAGATGAAGGGCATAGCCAGCTGAGCCGCACGAGGGTCCTACACGAGGTAGAGAGGGACAGAGGAAAGAGAGGACCGGGGGATTTAGACGTGACGTCAACGTCAGTTTAAGAAGTATCGCACGTGCGACCCATGTGAAGGACGTTAACGCGAGTTCCCCTTGTGTATAGGTTAACTGTGTACTACTTTCTGTTCTTAATATAAAATCTTGTTTGATTTTTATTTTGATTCTAAATATAAAACTTCAATCTATTTTATCTTTCATATTTATATATATTTTTTAAGATAATCCTTCTAATAATAATAGTTCTAATTAATATACTTAATTAGTAAGAATATTTTAAAACAAAAGACCGGAGGTAGTAGAACGCTGCATTAGAGAGGGACCTGCTGTTTGGAACAGGGGGCGTTCATTTCAGCTTGTGTAAATAAATTTCTTCACCCTTTTTTTAATGAAAAATTGGACCAAAAAACGAGACAATAAAAAAAAGACCATAAAAAGTATAAAATTTTAAATCAATGTTTTCAGAAAAATGTGTAAATGTCAACAGTTTATAGCTGAATTGGCACCTCATAACTCATCTGGCCTCTTATAGAAGAGGTCGCGTGTTCTACATCACATGTTACCAATTAGGGATGGGTGTGTGTGGGTTGGATTTTAAATTGTCCATATAAAAAATTTTAAAAAATAAAAGTATGCAAACTATTATCAAAATGTGTAAAATGTAACGAATCTTAATTTCAGATTTTATAACTTTTACTTCTTTACTTTGTCATTCTCCCAAGAGACAGTAAAAATGTTGGGAACAAAAATATCAATTCTTAAAAAATAATAAAAATTAATTAACAATTTTAACTATATTATTTTAATTTTTTAAATCGAACTCGTTAAAATTCACTCATTCCACGTTAGGCTTTAAGGACACTTGGTACTTCTTAACAAATACTGCAATTTTTTATCTTTGTGCAAATCTTAATATTTTTTTAATCTGAACATTTATTGTTAAGACTCTTAACTTAAAAGATTATGGGTATGTTTGGATTGGCGTTGGGCAAAACTGACTTCTAACCCAATTGACTTTTGTAATTGAAGTTAGAGTAAAAGTCAGTTAGGATATGTTTGGATAGGTGCTTTTAAAAAGTCAGTTAAAAAAGTTAAAAGTTGTTTGGATGATTAATGAAAAAATGAGTTTAGTTATAAAATGAATGAAAAGGACATAGACTTTATTGAATAGTAATGTTTGATATTTTATGTTTTTAATATGATAATTATTAAAAAAATATCTAAAATTATTATGATAAAATAAAAATAGTTTATTTGTGAAATTATAAAATATTGATTTATTTTGTTCTCAAGTAACCCTTGTAATGATTATACATATTAAAGAATTTTTATTAATGGGTAGTTTTAATACACATAATTAACAAAAATATTTTAGACAAGATAACATCCATTTATTATAAATAAATAACTTAATTAATTTTATTAATATCTTTAAATTAGTTATCTGATTCTTATATTAAAAATATGTAGTATCAAATTATTGGGTTTGTTATGGTAATTTTGTCTTTTTTCATTACCATCTTTTCTCTCTCCACGTTTGTGACGGCAAAAGCTCAAAAAATTAGCTTCAGCGTTAGGTGACTTTTTACCCAGAAGTTCATTTGCAAAAACGCTCACCCAAACATTTGGTTGAGCATTTCTCTGCTAATAACGTTAGTTTGCGCCATTCCAATGCACGTTTTCCGTTGAAAACGTTGATCCAAACATGCTGTATATTTAGCTAAAATTGAAATTTACTCTTTTTGCTTGGAATTCTAAAAAAGTGTTAATTACCACAGCCCCTAGTTAACAACATAAATGGCTTCTATACAATTTTTAAAAAAAATACATTTTTATACTTTTTGTATCACATATAAAATATAAAATAACCCTAATGTTAAAAAAAAATACTACTCGTACAACATTTCAGTTGCCTTGAGCAGCGAATTTTGACTAGCGGCTCTCATGAAATGACAATTTACTGATAAGGATAGTGCCTATTAAAAAAAATTACTGAAAAAATGCAATTAGTAAGTGGGGCATCCTTTTCCTGAAAAATCAACTAGCACTATTATTTTTACCAATTGATAATAATTGTGTTTAAAAAAAAAGTAAGTTTGTGTTTTCACTTGGGGTAGGGATTAAACTGGGAACATAATCATATAGGGTTTTGTAAATGCCAATCCGCAACACCTTCCAATTAAGTGGTTACAAGTCGTGTCCTTAATTATGTCTTACACATTACCCTTCACTAATCCCCCCCCCCGGGAGAAAAAAAGTGGCTTTAAGTTTTTTATAAAAAAAAAAAAAAAAACTTGCGTGCAATATTATCATACTCTATACTTTTCTTTTAAAATACCTTTTATGTATTTATATTTGTGTTTTTTTAATTCCCTTAGAAAGAACTAAATTTGATCTTTAGAATAAGAGAGAAAAATGAGCAATGATTGAACATATGTAAGGGGGGGAAAATCAAGAAACTTAATATTTTTTATAATATTTTTCTGCTTAAAAAACAACTTATTGCTTCTAAATTTATCAAGATAGAATTATACTTTGAAAGCTATCTGTAATTTCATACATGGATAAACATATAATATGATTAAATTATTAGTCTAATAATTAGCAACATCATCTGGCTATTAATTAATTGATTATTCTCAATTTCTTTTCTTTCACCATCTGATCTTATCTATTAAAAAACACAAGTGATCAACGTCAAACAAAGTTTGTAATTTGACTCTTTCAAGCCAACATCAATGTATTAATTATTTTATTATTAATGATGCTGCCATCCAATATTCTGGTTTCTGGCTGCTACATATAGCCTATACACGAATGGAGCCAATTACAAATTAAATAAAGCAATTACAATATTAATATATCATAAGAGCCTAATTAAATAAGCTCATGATGGGGTAGAATCAAACGATATGGTTTTCCTAGTCACTGTCAAAGAGATAATTATGAAAAATATATATAAAGAGAGAGATTTTTTCAAAAGCACCTTTTGTCATAATTAAGGATACGGCAATTAATTGCCTGTGAAATTAAAAGTTGACATGAGGAGAATTTGGAGCAAATGGGATTCCACTTAGTGCTTGTTGTTTTCCTCCCTTACAGAAAATCTAAAGTATGTCACTGTAATTTAATGAAGTCACTAGGAGTAAATTCAAGTGTGACATCAATTGATTAATCCCAAACTGATCAAGAGGCTTAAAAAATATTTATAAAATAAATCAAACATGGAGGCTGCTTTATTAATTTGTTTTTCCCCTTTAACCCTTCTCTAGCTAGCTAAGCCTATGAGCTATATGTGCTACAAATAATTTGCTACACAGAACCTGGACTCATCACTCTTATTAGGACTTCTTTTTATTATTTGTTATTTAATGTGAAGATTACGTTTTTGTTTAAAACATTTTGTCGACAGAAATACGGAGAAAATATAAAAAATTATGAAAAGTCCAGTCAATTATGTGAAGAACATATTGATTTTCTTTTTTTAAAAAAAAACTGAAATATGGGAACCAGGTTCTATATTTGATTTGATCTTATCTTAAACCAATTGGCCGGTTTTTGGGGTCAAATTAAATCGGACTCCGTGTCTGATGAGTTCCAATATTTGATCACTAATCATTTCAATTTTTTTTACAGAGAAAATTAATCAAATTATGTTATTTAAAATGTTAATTAAAATTAGTTAGAAATTTGAGACAAATTGTAAATGCCTCCTGTAAAAAAGTATATATCACATTTCAATGTCTTATAAAAAGAAGCAAGAAAGTATATGATTATAATACATACTACTTGCATTATAAAAAATAAAAAATAAATATTTTGAATTTTAGAAAAACTACAATAGTATAATAATATATAGGTTATAGGGTGGTCAGATCATCGTGGTCTAATTATTATTGTAAAGTTAACTAATTAGTTCAATGAGCATCGTTTACCCTCGTTGCACCATATATAATTATGTCTTATTTTCCTGTTTAATTATTCATAAATTTAATTCACTTGAATATCCTAATTAACCCAACCTGGATTCAGATCTGTCATAAAGAAAACTTAAAAATTGGCTTCTCGAAACACACACACGCACACACCTTTTAAGATGGTATTAGCTTGCATGTTCAAGGGCATATGTTCTTATATTTGTGGTTTCTTCTTAATTAAATAACAGCAGTTTGTGTCTTTTTATTGGTTTTGACTAACTTGAGAACTTTATTTCTCTACATCATCAATTACTTGAGATTTCATCCACCTAGTAATTAACCATGGATCTCATCATATTTGTTTTCCCTAAACCAAAGTTTTTTTTTTGAAATTTTCTTAATTAAAAGACAAGTGCAGTTTATTAGCAATTTGGATTCTCTCATAATCTTTTTTCTTTTTAGAATCCTTTCTTTACTCTCAGATTAAAATAATTGATGGTCTATATATAATATTTTAAATAACTGCTGAAAATTTCTTTCCCGTATGTAATTATTTCTGGTTTCTTTTTATTTGAACAAAACCTTTTTTTAAAAAAAAAGAGCTATATTTTAAATATTGGAAGTCATAAAACTTCCAACTTTAGACTGAGAAACTCCAACAGTGCAAGGTTTTCTTTTTGAATCTATATATGCAGAACTCCTTCATATTAAATATTCCTTTAATTAAAATATTAATTTAAGATCCAGTCATTCTTTTGTTTGGTCCAGAAGAGAAACCATATTAAGAAACAACTAATTCCTAGCATCTTTGAGAATTGAGATCCGTTCTTGGCTAATACTATATGTTGTGCCTTTACGCTAAATCCACAATTAATATACTTAAACCATTTGTAATTTTATAATTAAACCATTTGCAATTTTATAATAAATCACCAATTCCTGCGCGTGTACGTATAACTCCCACATACTCCCACATACTATATCATAATACCCAAATGCTTAATCACTTTGGGATTAACTAACTTATTAATTATTAAACATATTCTTTTGGTTAACAGTGATGTGTGCGCCGGCAGCAAAGGATACAAAATCCACACTTTGATCGAAGCGAGATTAAGAGATGAATATTTTAAGGTGCATTAATAATGATGACTTGTTCCATAATTGAGGCGATTAATTATTGAATGCATATTGACGCAGCACATTATATATCAATTTCAAACTAAATAAAAAATATATATTATATATATAATGACTAAATAAATACATATATATATATATAATGAAAAGAAAATCGTAGGGTTAGTTTAATTGAAGTTGAAGGCGCACGTATATGGGTAGCCAATGGACATGGAAACTTTCTGCGGCAACAAATCTGGAAGCATATTGAAATTTGTCCCAGCCTATATAAGAACCTTCAGTTTTATTTTATTTTTAAAAAAAAAACAATTTTCCAACTATTTCTAGCCTTCGGTATTATTAAGCTATATTTAAGCATTGTTAGTTAACTTTCATCTAGAGTAATTTTTTTGGTATAATTACTTTTCTACGGTTGATTTGAACCTAACTTAAGTCTCTTCTACTCGAATTAATTACAAACGGCAACATTTAATTTTTTTTATACATAGCTTCTAGTATTATGTATTAGTTCATATTTAAGCATTAGTTAGATCTAAATGGGAGTACTTTTTCGATTAGAATATTTTTATCCATAGTTTAATCATCATTTTTCTCAAACAATATCAGATATCTTCTACTTAAATCAGTTACTCTTAGTGACTTTGAATTTTATTTTATCGGCAATTTTTTATTTTATTCATATCAAGAGGAGTTAAATTTTGTTAGTTCATTTCTGTACCAGCATTACCCATCATATTTGAATAAAATCCTAAATTTAAACTCAGTATACATGTTTTTTTGTATGCATGAATTACCAAAAAAGAAAGAGTGATCGAATTGAATCTTACACCTCTATCTATGTCTTACGGGTTCAAATAATCACTTAAAAAGTTCTTTTTAATATTTTATGAGATCAAATTTTTCTCACATTTATTTTGTACGAAATAAAAATTACTTAAGACAAACTAATCCAAATATTTTCCTCATTTTATCATTACCAATATCCTAGTTGTAATTGGCTTCACTAAAGCGGTTTTAATTAAACCTAAATTAAAGGAAATATGGGAACAAACAAGGAAAAAAAAATAAAGTGTTTCGACATATAGGGTGGACAGAGAGATCAGTGAGGGCCTTTTTTTTTTTGTCTTTTAATTATTCTAGACCGAAGAGAATCTCAGAGTCATTCAAACCCCTATCATCAGGACCACCCTCATGAGTAAATTAATCAGTATTTACCCTAAGAAAAATTATTATTATCGTTATTATTAATATTAATAACTAAAATTGAGCCCAACAACTTTATTAGCTAGGGGGGCAGTGTAATTTGGATCTAAGCTATGGATATGTCAATTCTGATTGGTGGAGGGACCCCATTTCTGGGGTGGCTTGTCCACAACCCCACTCTTATTACTGTTCATGTCATCCCTCCATAAGCTTCTTTCATCATCTTCTTCAGATTTGAGAGAATAATTAAAGCACTTCAATTTTGATTCCTAAATTGATGGCTTCATGTGGGTCTACACTTTTCTTTTAGAATCCGTTTGGTACGAGAGAAAATAGGAGGAGGGGAGTAAAAGAATAATAAAAATTAATTACAAACTTTTAATCTTATTTCTCCAATTTTTTAAATCAAGCTTATCAAAATTTTTCTTTCCTCCTCTCCGATCCCTCTATTTCTCTCATACCAAACAGTACTTTAAAGTTCATCTCTTTGTGATACCACCCTATGAGTTTATATATGACTTATTATTGCCCATTTGAGTTAGTCTTGGTAAATTGATTTTGCACCGTAAAAGATAAATATGTAAAAAAAATTTTCTATAAAACATAAAGCGGATTTTTTAAACTCTCCCAAACAAGCTTTTAAGTGAAGCTTCTTACTATTCCCTCTTATCCTTATTAAACTGATAAAAATATTTAAAAACATCAAATTTGTCATAAAATTTAAATGATTTTCAATATTACCTTTTTTTAACTACTCTAAACTTCAACATCATACTAATTTATATTTTTTTTACTACCTTTATTAAATATCGGCATATTAGATACAAATTTATTACCACAAAAATGATGATGATGAGCCTGCAAATTTTAGGGAGAGAATTTATAAGTTCCACTTTATTGATGACAAGAAGTGTATGGAATCCTATGCTTTTCTTCTCCTTTATTTGTTTTCCTACTTTATTTCTGGTTCTTGCACATGCACTCTATGGAGATCAAATGTCAATGTCTCGTCAATAATGTGAATCATATATCAAACCACATGATTTTACATATAAATGGCAGCACCTTCTGCTTATTTTTATGTAAGTTCAGGGAATCTCATGCAATTTCAACAAAGCCATGTGTCAGGCAATATCACTGAAACAAAACCCCACCATTAATGGCCATATGTTTTTGCTGATCCAGGATAAATAACAGAAAATAATAAACCATTAATTAATATTTTAAAACAATTAGAATAATCGATGTAGTACTACCCTATGGCATATTGAGATTAACAAGCATATACATGGTTGTGAACTCAAGACAAGATTCTTCCTCTTCTTCCATCAACAATCAACAAAGACAATAATATCTAAATACAAAATTTTCCATGTATTATAGGAAAACTGCTGAAAAATACTTCCTCACAAAATGTATTGCCCATAGATATCTCAAGACTCATGTTACAGCGGGTATCAGTTGTGTGTAACAAATATTTCGTTTTGTGCAAACATTTTTTATTTTACATATAACTAAAGATAAGTTATATATATATATATATAGAATTGAAAATCAAGTACTTTCCACAGTAAATTTCACAATAAATAAATTTTCAGCAATCTTCCTTCACATTATGTTATACCATGTTAAAAATATTATTTATAGTAACAATTCAACGCCTATATATATATATATATATATATATGTATGTACGTACGAGTATGTCATGATCAGAAAAGGGGGAGTAGAGTAGTGGCTGGATCGGGAGAACTGACGTACTACTATTATTTAAAAAGAGAAGGATGACGAACACGTAAATCTGATTAATAATTAACTCAAATTAATTATCAAGTTGCTACTAAAAAAATAAGTGATCTTCCTAGGGAGCTTGATTTGATAGATCAATTATAGAGTATATATATAATTATATATAGCTCAGGATATTCGAAACTTTCTTCACGGATGCTCTAGACCCTAATGGCTGGCCGATGTTTAGCTAAATCCTGCAACGCCATGTTATCTAACGTGCAATTACGGTGTCTCATATATAGATGAATATATATATATATTTATATACATACATCTGTGTGTGTGTGTGTATAAATATGACGTAGCAATTATTGTTTAATTTATGTTTTCGTTAACGTAACAGGTTCTTTGTAAAACTTGCTTTAAAATTTATTTTTTGTTTACAGATAATATATTTTTCGTTTTAAGTCTTTGACACAATTTTTTTGGGGACCAAAGTAGACATATATTATGATTCTCACTTAAACTGAGCGTATTATCTTTCCTATCAACTTGTTTGAATTTTTTTTTTTTTTTGCAAAAATAACTTTTATTTCAATCAATTAAGTTTTACACACTGAGAGTAGGACAAACAAACTGGTTTGACAAAAACTTGTTTAAATAATATATTAAAAAGTTAATTTCATTTCAATATAATGAGAAGTCAAAGGTCGAAAATAAAAAAACTCGCTTTAACTTTAAAATCACTTTTAAATAATACTCATTTGTTTTTGCCGCTATCT